AGGTGGAGTGTGCAGGTGGAGTGTGCAGGTGGAGTGTGCAGGTGGAGTGTGCAGGTGGAGTGTGCAGGTGGAGTGTGCAGGTGGAGTGTGCAGGTGGAGTGTGCATGTGGAGTGTGCAGGTGGAGTGTGCAGGTGGAGTGTGCATGTGGAGTGTGCAGGTGGAGTGTGCAGGTGGAGTGTGCAGGTGGAGTGTGCAGGTGGAGTGTGCAGGTGGAGTGTGCAGGTGGAGTGTGCAGGTGGAGTGTGCATGTGGAGTGTGCATGTGGAGTGTGCAGGTGGAGTGTGCATGTGGAGTGTGCAGGTGGAGTGTGCAGGTGGAGTGTGCAGGTGGAGTGTGCAGGTGGAGTGTGCAGGTGGAGTGTGCAGGTGGAGTGTGCAGGTGGAGTGTGCATGTGGAGTGTGCATGTGGAGTGTGCAGGTGGAGTGTGCATGTGGAGTGTGCAGGTGGAGTGTGCAGGTGGAGTGTGCAGGTGGAGTGTGCAGGTGGAGTGTGCAGGTGGAGTGTGCAGGTGGAGTGTGCAGGTGGAGTGTGCATGTGGAGTGTGCAGGTGGAGTGTGCAGGTGGAGTGTGCATGTGGAGTGTGCAGGTGGAGTGTGCAGGTGGAGTGTGCAGGTGGAGTGTGCAGGTGGAGTGTGCAGGTGGAGTGTGCAGGTGGAGTGTGCATGTGGAGTGTGCATGTGGAGTGTGCATGTGGAGTGTGCAGGTGGAGTGTGCAGGTGGAGTGTGCAGGTGGAGTGTGCATGTGGAGTGTGCAGGTGGAGTGTGCAGGTGGAGTGTGCATGTGGAGTGTGCAGGTGGAGTGTGCAGGTGGAGTGTGCAGGTGGAGTGTGCAGGTGGAGTGTGCAGGTGGAGTGTGCAGGTGGAGTGTGCAGGTGGAGTGTGCAGGTGGAGTGTGCAGGTGGAGTGTGCATGTGGAGTGTGCAGGTGGAGTGTGCATGTGGAGTGTGCATGTGGAGTGTGCAGGTGGAGTGTGCAGGTGGAGTGTGCAGGTGGAGTGTGCAGGTGGAGTGTGCATGTGGAGTGTGCATGTGGAGTGTGCAGGTGGAGTGTGCAGGTGGAGTGTGCATGTGGAGTGTGCAGGTGGAGTGTGCAGGTGGAGTGTGCATGTGGAGTGTGCAGGTGGAGTGTGCAGGTGGAGTGTGCAGGTGGAGTGTGCAGGTGGAGTGTGCATGTGGAGTGTGCAGGTGGAGTGTGCAGGTGGAGTGTGCAGGTGGAGTGTGCAGGTGGAGTGTGCAGGTGGAGTGTGCATGTGGAGTGTGCAGGTGGAGTGTGCATGTGGAGTGTGCATGTGGAGTGTGCATGTGGAGTGTGCAGGTGGAGTGTGCAGGTGGAGAGTGCAGGTGGAGTGTGCATGTGGAGTGTGCATGTGGAGTGTGCAGGTGGAGTGTGCAGGTGGAGTGTGCAGGTGGAGTGTGCAGGTGGAGTGTGCAGGTGGAGTGTGCAGGTGGAGTGTGCATGTGGAGTGTGCAGGTGGAGTGTGCAGGTGGAGTGTGCAGGTGAGTGTGCATGTGGAGTGTGCAGGTGGAGTGTGCAGGTGGAGTGTGCATGTGGAGTGTGCATGTGGAGTGTGCAGGTGGAGTGTGCAGGTGGAGTGTGCAGGTGAGTGTGCATGTGGAGTGTGCAGGTGGAGTGTGCAGGTGGAGTGTGCAGGTGGAGTGTGCAGGTGGAGTGTGCATGTGGAGTGTGCATGTGGAGTGTGCAGGTGGAGTGTGCAGGTGGAGTGTGCATGTGGAGTGTGCATGTGGAGTGTGCATGTGGAGTGTGCAGGTGGAGTGTGCAGGTGGAGTGTGCAGGTGGAGTGTGCATGTGGAGTGTGCAGGTGGAGTGTGCAGGTGGAGTGTGCAGGTGGAGTGTGCATGTGGAGTGTGCATGTGGAGTGTGCATGTGGAGTGTGCATGTGGAGTGTGCAGGTGGAGTGTGCATGTGGAGTGTGCATGTGGAGTGTGCAGGTGGAGTGTGCAGGTGGAGTGTGCATGTGGAGTGTGCAGGTGGAGTGTGCATGTGGAGTGTGCAGGTGGAGTGTGCAGGTGGAGTGTGCATGTGGAGTGTGCATGTGGAGTGTGCATGTGGAGTGTGCATGTGGAGTGTGCATGTGGAGTGTGCAGGTGGAGTGTGCAGGTGAGTGTGCATGTGGAGTGTGCATGTGGAGTGTGCAGGTGGAGTGTGCATGTGGAGTGTGCAGGTGGAGTGTGCAGGTGGAGTGTGCATGTGGAGTGTGCAGGTGGAGTGTGCAGGTGGAGTGTGCATGTGGAGTGTGCAGGTGGAGTGTGCAGGTGGAGTGTGCAGGTGGAGTGTGCATGTGGAGTGTGCATGTGGAGTGTGCAGGTGGAGTGTGCAGGTGGAGTGTGCAGGTGGAGTGTGCAGGTGGAGTGTGCAGGTGGAGTGTGCAGGTGGAGTGTGCAGGTGGAGTGTGCAGGTGAGTGTGCATGTGGAGTGTGCAGGTGGAGTGTGCAGGTGGAGTGTGCATGTGGAGTGTGCATGTGGAGTGTGCAGGTGGAGTGTGCATGTGGAGTGTGCATGTGGAGTGTGCAGGTGGAGTGTGCATGTGGAGTGTGCAGGTGGAGTGTGCAGACGGATGGCCCCTGCAGCGACTCACATGCGTATTTGCCTGATGGCGCCGTATTTGCCAAAGATGTCGTACATCTCCTCCGATGTAATGTTGAACGGTAGGTTGCTGTTGGGAGGGGCATCAGGTGGTGTAGAGGGGTAGAGAACGGTAGAGAGGGGTTAAGGCAGAGAGAGGCAAGGGCACACTAAGATGTCATACATCCCCTCCGACGTGATGTTGAACGGCAAGTTGCTGTTGGGAGAGGCATTTAGTGGTATAGAGTGGTAGGAAGGGGCAGAGAAAGGCAAGGACTCATTGAAATGTTGCACACCCTCTTAGATGATACGTACAGCAGTAGGATGCTGTGGGAAATGACTGGAGAAGTGTGGGGTAGAGAGGAGCAGAGAGATGCAGAGATGGGTAGGGAGCGGTAGGGAGGTGTGAAGAGGTATAGAGAGGGAAGGAAGTGATAAGACAGTATGGAGGTGGGAGGCCGTACTCTTGGGTGAGGAGGACAAGAACGGCGCAAGGGAAACGGGTAACGGGGCAGAGGGGAGGGGGGCGACGAGAAGTGAGGCAGGGGGAAGGACGAAGGAAGGAAGCGAGGGAGATGGAAGCAGGAAGCGAGTGAGAGAGCGTGGGCTCCTTATTATCACACAAACGATCATAGGTGCGTCGCAGGCAGGCACAGTGCTTGAGTGCAACCGAGTGGCGAGAAGACGATGCATGTTGAAGGGAGGGGAATGTGCAAACACGGTGCTCTGGACACGCCACGTGTATACAGTGTATTTTCTAGACGTCTCTAAAATACACTGTATACACTTGGCAAGAAGACGACGCATGTTGAAGGGAGGGGAATGTGCAAACATGGTGCTCCGGACACGCCACTCACAAACTCCCTCCCACACTCCCTCAACTTCACACACCCCTTCACACACACACACGTCACTACACTCACCGCACGTAGATGGCTCTGTTGACTTCGGGCGGTAGTCGTACCTGGGGAGGAGAGAGGTAGAGAGAGGGGGGAGAATGAGAGGAGAGAGAGTGGCTGAATGAGGTGGGGAGGGGTGCAACGGGACCAACCACTTCCTTTTTCGTGAGCCAAAGCTGGGAGCCTTGAAACCATTCGCCGGGCGCAAGGGTCCTAAGCAATTCCCTTTAAGCGGATTGTCAAATGGAAGCTCGTGTAACGACTGCATGGACAGGACACCTGTTTCCATACGCGATTATCGTGAGTATGAAAAGGGCAGAAAAAGTAGGATTTTCTCAGCCTTATACAGTAGAGTCTTAGACCAGTAGCGGTAGCAACTAAGCCCACGCACGGAGCAAACAGCGCGCATCCTGCTGAATCTTTTAACTACGGAGGGTGAAACTAGCGATTGCGGATGCGACGTTACAAGCTAATCATTCTGGTCGGCAACCTCGAAGTCGGAAGAGAGAAAGAGCGGAAACTCACATTCCGCCGATTCATCGTGCTTTATCTTCCTTGGGGATGCCCTCCTGAGACCTCCGTGAATCTACCCTCCCTTCAGATTTCGGTGATAGGATCTATACTTGGAGGAAAACTTCACACGATTTCTTAGTTTCGTGGTAGGAAGACGGCTCACGAGTCACACGGACGATGACAGCTACGATCGGAGAGCCAGTGCGTGAATCGAGAAGGCGAACTAGCTACCTCTCGCACAACGAAACGAAACGCCACGCAAAAAGCTAGGTCGGAAGGGAGTGCGTAGCAAGGAAGATTTCCCAGGTAAGATAATTTGGAGAACCATAAGGGTGTACCGTGGAGGTAAAGTGGGCAGTCGGAGATGATATCGATGTTTAGCGAGCAATGCTTTTCGCAGTCGCGAAACATTTCCTATAGCGTAAGCGAGCCCGTTACAAACAGGCATGCTTTCTGCAGCATCTGTAGGAGGTAAAACATTTTTCCAAATCACTAGATATGTCACACACCACATCAGCCAATCACGATCTGAAGCATAAACCTATGAATGAATCTTTCTATATCTAGTTTCATATATGCGCAGTACACATACTTCGCACTTGCCATCCAATTCTACAACAAATAGCAATTCCATCTTGAGACGAATTCAGGTATATAACAAAGGCCGTCCAGCTGAATCTTTCAAGTGTCCTCAAACGTGCTGCCTCATCTGAGATTAAAATTCCGGTTTATTGCATCCATGTCAGAAAATAGGATTGAGGAAGAGACCACTGTTAACTCAGGGGTGAGGATAGAGTGTGCAGGGTAGAGTAGGATGGACGATAAAGGGGAGTGTGCAGCAGAGAGAGAGAGATAGAGCAGGTGGAGACAAGGTGACGGAAGTGAGAAAGCTGATGGAAGTTATCAGAAGGAAGACTGGAAGGAGATGTGGGATGATGGGATGTGCGAGTGAAAGTAGAGCGGAGGAATGCGATTAGGGCTTTGAGGAAAGAATGCTTGTTGCCCTAATGAGGACAATGGGGAGAGTCTGGCAGAAAGGAAGTAGGGAACCCAGCGTAAGGGGTGCCCAAAGGGAAAGGAACCCATAGGGAGAGGAAAGATACCCAGAGGGAGAGGAGAGGAGCCCAGAGGATGAGGAGAGGAGCCCAGAGGAAGAGGGGAGGAACCCAGAAGGGGAGGAGAAAACCCCAGGGGGGGAGGAGAGCAGAGGAAGAGGAGAGGAACCCAAAGGGGGAGGAAAGAAACCCAGAGGAAGAGGAGAGGAGCCCAGAGGAAGGGGAGAGGAACCCATATGGAGAGGAAAGAAACAGGAAGGAGGAGGAGAGGAGCCCAGAGGATGAGGGGAGGAACCCAGAAGGGGAGGAGAAAAACCGAGGGGGGGAGGAGAGAAACCCAGAGGGAGAGGAGAGGAACCCAAAGGGGGAGGAAAGAGACCCAGAGGGAGAAGAGAGGAATCCAGAGGGAGGGAAAACCAAAAAGGGAGGGGAGCCCAGAAAGGGGGAGCGGGAGGGACACTGAGGTTGGATAGAGGAAAATATTGGATAAAACGAGTAAGGGACTGGGCGAGGGGAGACGGGGATCTTTGTGCAGTCGCTTGGCACGGACGTTGAAGGAGTGGAGAGGTGAGAGTGGAGCCATGGGTTACAAAGAAGGGGGCGAATGACGTGAAACCATTTCTTGTTGCTTTAAGGTTCTGGTTCGGGGTTTTATTTTTCTTTGTCTTCTTCCATCTCCGGTGTTCAAAAGCATATGAAGAGTACCTTCCAAATTGGCCGTTACATACACTGAAATGCACTCGCCTTTTTTTTTACAAACAACGAGGCTTTCTCAGAGGCCATTGCGGCAGGATTTATTTCATTAACCAGCAGAACATGCATGACAGCACACGCAAAAAAACGAACGAACAAGGAAGAGGCAAATTCACTCACGATACTCTGAATCCAAATCCCTGAATCGACCCATCAGGATTCTCCACCAAAATCGTTCTCGGGGAGTGTCTGGAAAGCTTCCCGTTCAAGTGACCCGGACAGCAACACGTGGCTTCAGCGCAGCACGGCGTTGTCGGCAATCTCCGCGTGGCTCTCGCCGCTGATAGCGTATCGAGCGCTCTGTGACTGTAACAGAAGGGCGAACGCGTCCGCACGAACGCGGTGTACGCCGCCGTGCCTTTCCTCGGAGCGAAACTCGTCCGCCCGACCTTCACTTCCACTTGTATCGCTCCGCACGCGCTTTCCCCGATAATGAATTTCCGCACCAGAGGGAAGAACTGAACGTGCGTTTGGTCGTATTGTCGAATCGCCTGTTCTAACGGTATCGTAGCGCGACCTAAGGACGTCCTTAACGATGCTGACGCGTAGATCTTGACTATAACATGCGGGAACGGTTTTATGAGGTTGGTATCCTGTGAATTTGAATCTGCAGGTTCGTCCAAGCGTAGAAGATGGTCCGGGACGGAGAATTCTAGGAGGGTGTCCCAGACGGGATTCGCGTGGCCGTGTTTTACGGGAGGTAGGAATTGGCTCGAGCGAGCGTCGCCGTATGCTGACACGACCGCGCAGGGACTCATACGTTTGAAGACCTTCGCTCTGTGCAGGTTGTGCGCCGATATGAGCCGTATGGACACCGACGTCGAGCGGGTAGGCTCTTCCTCGTCTGGTCTCATGATTTCTGCTTGAAAGCAAGTCACAGGATTATTTCGTATTTAGAAACAGGAATGCGCCTCAACTCAGATGAACAAAGCCTCTCGACAACAAAAGAGAAACACCTCTGTAAACTGCAAGAATGAGTGTCCTCGTGGCCTAAATCAGTTGAGGGTTGCCTTCGCTGTTCTGCGGAATCCACGTATCTATGAATGTGAGAGAGCAAGACGGATAGGCGTCGGGGCGACAGGGGAATGAGCTGAGAAGAGCTGATGCAACAAAGGATTCTCTCAGGGAAATCTGAACGGGTTGCGCGAACCAGCGATGTGGATGTGTGGATGTGATCTTCCCTCGCATTCATGCCTTGCTTGGTTGGTGGGAGGGTGCTTGGTGGTGGTTTGGCTGGGGTGTGGGCTGTGGGGAGCTGGGAGGAGTTGGTTTGGTTTGGAATGGGTTGGTTTGGGATGGGTTGTCGTCGAATTCTGTACCTTCCCGAGCATGGCTGACAGCCATGCAAAGAATCGAGGCAAGTGGATTTGGCAGAACGGCCCATGGGGGAAGGGGAAGGAACGTCGGGTTTGGTGGAGAGCTGAATATTGCATGACGGCACTCACCATCATGGTAGTAGAAACAAGAAATCAAATCGATTTCAAGGCTAATCGAACAGCTGCACTTTCAATGCTGGCTCGGAAACATTGAACCTTCATTGCAGCACTTGACTGTAATAAAACACAAATCTGAATAAGCACCCAGCATTATGTAGCTGTGATGACTATAAGTATCTTGTTTAGAGAAGACCAGTGCTATTGAACTTAGGTAGCGGGGCCGCACCCACGCTTGTGAAGGGCTGATGGTCGTGAAACCAAGTTCACATCGATGACAGTCGGTTCGAACCAAAGTCGGCAATTCTAGAGTCAAGCCTTGCCCAATCAGCGGGATCCTTGGCCCCGAGATTCCCGTGGAGATACCTCGTCGTTCTGCATTGGGACAAAAATCTGCCCCCCCGTGGCAGGACGGGTCAAATGGTTCTGCTTTTGCCACGCTGGACAAGCTGCGACTAAAAGTTCCGGTCAAAAAGAACCGAAGGCTAGGATGTCACATCAGACGATCGGACGAACATCCGAAACTCCTGTGTGGATGGGGTTTGTGTGACGTGTACACAGAGATGTTGGGACTTCTGGGGGCAGGAATATTCGATATTGACAACTATCAGACAACTTCTTTGCCATTATATTCAGTGTCACTATGTTGTTCAAACACTTCACACAACTACCAACAAATAGGAGTCGCCAAACAATGGGAGCCATCAGGATTTAGGAAGGCAAGCCCACCATAACGCGTGTCGCTCACTTTTCCTTCGCCCCATCCTGGTTGTCTTAGTAACATGGCTTCTTGCGCATCGTCACCCGTCATCGCCACTCGCGAAAGGCCTGCATTGCCACGTGTCGTTCCATCGCGACAGGTTCGAGGTCTGATCGGACGATGTCTGCCCAGGAAACTTCTTAAAGGTTATCTGAGGTTCACGACTTTTGAATGTCGCCCACTTTCGTCCCGCTTTTCTGTGTCGGACTCGTTAACTGGCAGTCTGGGTTCTAGCATTGTAACGTGGAGACCACAACATACGCAAGCATTTCCACGTGGCACGGCTCGCATTAGACCCTCAGCGCAAGTCGCGGAAGAATATGATCCAGGGGTACCGGAAGATGCGGGGTCCGACGAAGATGACGTGGCAAGCGGGGATTGGCTAGATACCGAGACGGGAAGGTTGCGCGTGCTTGCATGCATGCAGACGATATACTCTCGGATCACCATTCTAGAGTTCGCGGAGAATCAGGCGGAAAATGCGTCGGAGGGGAGGGCGCAGGGGGAGGAGGTGGGAGGTGGGGGAAGGAAGGACGACGCAGACGATCCTTCATTGGTGCTAGCCGGATCGCGGGTCATGCTATTGGACGACTCGAACAACGTGTCGAGTCTTTACAACAAGTGCGTGCCAGGCCAGGCTATGACAGATAGTCCAGTCAGATTTAGAGTTCAACCTCGTGGTTTCGGTTTTTCCACCTCCGCGCTCCTACACCTTCCTCCGTGGTACCATTCAATTTCCATTTTTCTTCCTTTGATTCACCATTCTCACCGAACCATACCACCTTGTTTCACTGAATTCTTCCCTCACTCCTTCGCTTTCCTTTCTACCCCGTCTGCCTACGCAACCCCACTGAAACCCCTCCTCCTCAGGAGAACCATCTGGACGCGATCCTACTGGGACAACCTGGCGTCGCTGGCCCCGTTATTGTCACACGAGCTCGGCTCTGGCGGGAACGCGCCCTTACCCGGGCCAGTGGCGCTGCTGGGGCTGGCAGGGGGCTCCGTGGCTCGCATTATCAGAACACAGTGGCCGGAGGTTGGCGTGCAGGCGTGGGAGATTGACCTAGTGGTGAGTGTGTGGGTGCACGGAATCAGTGAGGTGCCTTGGGGATTGTTTTCGTGGCTTGGATTGTGGGTCGAGAACACAGTGGCCGTAGGTCGGCGTGCAGGCATGGGAGATCGACCTAGTGGTGAGTGCGAATTGACTTTTGAGTTGGCTAAATGGTCTCGTTGTTACCATGTTACCAAGTCATGGCTGTGAGCAGGGAGAGCAATAGCAGGGGGGAAAAGGGGGTGGATGAACAGGACTGCTGGGGCTGGCAGGGGGCTCCGTGGCTCGCGTTATACGAGCACAGTGGCTGGCGGTTGGCGTGCAGGCATGGGAGATTGACCTAGTGGTGAGTGCGAGGTGACTTCTGGGTCGGCTGAATGGTCACGTTGTTACAACGTTACTAAGCAGCAAGTGGTGCTGTGAGCAGGGAGAGCATTAGCAGGGGGAAGAGGGGGTGGATGAGGGGGTCTGCTGGTGCTGGGAGAGGGCTCCTTGGCTCTGCATGTTGGCAGAGTTGCCGGATGTTGGCAGAGTTGCTGCATGTTGGCAGAGTTGCTGCATGTTGGCAGAGTTGCCGGATGTTGGCAGAGTTGCCGGATGTTGGCAGAGTTGCCGGATGTTGGCAGAGTTGCCGGATGTTGGCAGAGTTGCCGGATGTTGGCATGCAGGCATGGGAGATAGTCCAAGCGGTGGGTGGTTAAGGGGAGTGATGATGAAACTATCGTTCTCTTTCTCTGTCACTCACTAGCCCACGTGCACACATATGCATGCTCTCATACACATGCACACATAGCCACACACATGCACACATAGCGACACACGTGCACACATAGCGACACACGTGCACACATAGCGACACACATGCACACATAGCGACACACGTGCACACATAGCGACACACGTGCACACATAGCGACACACATGCACACATAGCGACACACATGCACACATAGCGACACACATGCACACATAGCGACACGCATGCACACATAGCGACACACATGCACACATAGCGACACACATGCACACATAGCGACACACATGCACACATAGCGACACACATGCACACATAGCGACACACATGCACACATAGCCACACACATGCGCACATAGCGACACACATGCACACATAGCGACACACATGCACACATAGCGACACACATGCACACATAGCGACACACATGCACACATAGCCACACACATGCACACATAGCCACACACATGCACACATAGCGACACACATGCACACATAGCAACACACATGCACACATAGCCACACACATGCACACAGAGCCACACACATGCACACATAGCCACACACATGCACACATAGCGACACACATGCACACATAGCGACACACATGCACACATAGCGACACACATGCACACATAGCGACACACATGCACACATACCGACACACATGCACACATAGCGACACACATGCACACATACCGACACACATGCACACATAGCGACACACATGCACACATAGCGACACACATGCACACATAGCCACACACATGCACACATAGCCACACACATGCACACATAGCGACACACATGCACACATAGCAACACACATGCACACATAGCCACACACATGCACACAGAGCCACACACATGCACACATAGCCACACACATGCACACATAGCGACACACATGCACACATAGCGACACACATGCACACATAGCGACACACATGCACACATAGCGACACACATGCACACATACCGACACACATGCACACATAGCGACACACATGCACACATACCGACACACATGCACACATACCGACACACATGCACACATAGCCACACACATGCACATGTAGCCACACACTTGCACATGTAGCCACACACTTGCACATGTAGCCACACACTTGCACATGTAGCCACACACTTGCACATGTAGCCACACACATGCGCGCATAGCCACACACATGCACATGTATCCACACATAGCCACGCATGCCCACACAAATGCACACACTTGCACACACTTGCACACAAATGCACACACTTGCACACACTTGCACACAAATGCACACACTTGCACACACTTGCACACACTTGCACACACTTGCACAGACTTGCACAGACTTGCACACTCTCATGCATGCTTTATTCAACCATTCCCCTCAGGTGGTGGATCTTGCTCGTCGCTTCTTCTCCCTCACCTCTTTGGAGAAACCCTCGCCTCAAGGGGGCTACCTGCATGTGACTGTAGGCGATGCTCTTGTAGCGGTTCCTGTCCCTTTACAGGGCACCAGTTCCTCTACTGAAGGCGTCACTGTAGACGCTACTACAGTTAGCACTGTAGATGATGCTACAGCAGGTGGTGCTACAGCTGGACAGCAGCGGTTCAGTGGCATCATAGTGGATCTCTTCTCAGGTGGTGCCGCCCTCCCTCAGCTAGAAGACGAAGCCACCTGGCGGCACCTGAAGAACCACCTGAGCCCTGAAGGAAGGGTGCTGATCAACTGTGGGGGGCCTAGCAGCAGCTTCGGCGAATACTTGAAGAGCTTCGAGCAAATCCAGTCTGCCGAACTAGAAGTAACGGAGGGAGATCGAACGGCAGCAATAGCAGCAGCAGCCAGGAGTGATCCTGGTATGAGGCGATGTGCCGAGGTGATCGAGGCAATGCGGAAATTTTTTTACGGGCAGGTGCTGCTTTACTGCACTACTGGGTCGGATCGAAACATTTTCGCACTGACTGGTCCGCACCCCGATTTTGATGCCTGGGAGGAGAAGCTGCCCGAGCAGATCAAGGCGGCAGCTAGAGGCTGGAGCTCAAATGAAGATGTGTACAGTTTATTAGCCTCAAAACTAGTTTAGTAACAGGTAGTGTGGTTTTCTAGCGTCGGCTTGCGCGGAATTGTGTGGCCTGCATCACTGTAGTTTATTGCCCCGGCTTCGGGTGTGGTCCAGTTATGGCAGCTGCCTTGCCCGTGTCATGGGCAGGTTTCACTGCACCACCAAATGTAATAACAAAATAATACACCAGAATCCAAATCCATCCCAACCGTGCTCTGTCACTCCCTCTACCCAGTTCCTCCGCATAAACACCACCTTCGGTTGCATGCGCATGCTAGAACAACTGCTCTAGTGCTTTTCTGTGCAACATGAGTCTTGGATAGGCCAAATTGAGGGAGAAAGCCCCCCTGCTTATGCCAAAGAGTCAGGCTACTGGTTAGAATGTTTGTTGGAGCCCTCCTGAGTTGGTTGAATGGTTAGAGATGCCACAGATGATGGTGTGTTGGGATTAGCCAGTCCCAGCAAGAATCCACACATGATGACTGAACCTGCATCCACCTCACAGTCCTGTATTGAAAGTCCTCCATACTCCTTCAGAATGGAAAGCCATTTCTCCTTCCGCAACTCATCCCGTTTTGTGCCAATGGAGAAGAACAGTAAGAGTTTCACTCCCATGCGAAGGAAATCATTGATTGATGGGAGCAGCCCAGTGTCACCAGAAACGATCACCACAATCGGAAGGTCAAAGAGCCTCCTGAAATTAGGAGCCAGTGTTGTAAGAATCAACAAACACACGAACACATGTGCGGAAGAGAAAAAACCAAGGACCATACACTTACTGAACCAAGGTATAGTTTCCCTTTACTTTCTTCTGGATTGCGGAAGGGAAGAAGGTACCACGCAGATCCTCGAGCATGGAATCGTCTGCTACATCGATTCCAGGTGGGACCACCACGATCTCGATACCGCTGCTCCAGATTTCGCTCTTTTTCCTGAAGGCTGCTAACTTCCCGTACGCACTAAACCGCGACAGGTGTCCAAGAGTAGCTGCGAAGGTCTTAAGTTGGCCAACAAGGTGTGAGGGAGACGCGCCATGTGGGACCGGCAGATTCTCGTAGTCCCAGAAGATTTCAACAAGAGCGCCATGGTCTGCAGGGGGATCAGATTTTAGCGCGAATATACCTTCACAACCAGTTTTGTGAGCACGCATGGAGCAGGATGCTCGGTTTTCTCGTCCTCGTTCAAAACACTTCCCTCTGGTCGTAGAAGAACAAGCAACACCTATTCTTATTGTCCTGCAGTTGAATCTCGCTCTGTCTGGAAGTGGCGACAGCAGAGAGCTGATTGGCCCACATCCACGTGAAATACTCGACAGGATCATACTGCTGTGTTGGGGTAGTCTTAATCGCAGAATTTAAATCCATTTGACTAGCAGACGTTGAAGAGCGCGTGATTGCGATGAGGGGCTTAATCAAAACCGACACCGACTGTCGAGGTTAGAGGAATGACATCAGGAAACCCGTGTTCGGGTGCGACGGGAAACAGTTCGCATGCATGCATGGTTTCACCAGCATGGAGAATCTCTTGCACGCATTCGGTTTGTTAGCGATTGAGTTCCTGGAGCGTAATGCTGACACCAGCGGCAGTGCGGTCCGGGTTACGAAACCCTTGTCGCTTATCCCGGCGAAAGTTTCCGGTTTGGAGCGAAAGCTAAACAACAAACACTTGGAGCCATGCACATAATCGATCGTCCAGCTAACATAAGAGCTTGACGGCCCTGAAACTACCAGCTACTGTTATACGGAACGTTGTTCTCACTGCAGGCAAGAAGACCGCATCGCAATGAAACAAAATTCGCCCTAAACTAGGAGTGTCCATCACCACCACCATGAATGCACCCACCATCGTCAATCCCGTCAATCACCCGTCAATCGCCCCTGCTGAAACGAGGCAGCCAGGGTCGGGAGTTTGAGTTGAGGGAAGGAAGGAGATGCGATCGAAAGACCCGGTATAAGATGCCGCCTTAGGCGAAGAGCAATCATCGTGAATAACACTTTTGGCACTTAAGGTTCGACCCAGCCCAGTCCACTAGGTCTAACTAACCCCTTGCTCTTTCGCCTAATTCAGTTAACGTCAAGTCTTTACAACTTTCTCGTACATGCCACAGGAATCAGTGTAACACAACTACAACGCGCCTAAATCTCGTAACGCATTCATCCGTCTAGAAAGCAATAATCTTTCAAATAATTCGCTTTTGGAAGCATGGTCAGTTGTATCTGCCACCTTCATCCCGCTCAACTGCCTCCTGCCACGCTGTCATCTCCATCAGTCCGCTCCTCATCCTCAAACTCTGCCGCCGCTGTCACAAGCTCGGCTGACAGGTTCTTCATCTGACGGATGGTGTGTGGGGAGCAGGGAGAGAGCGCGCATGAGCCATCACACTCTGCAACTAGGCGTGTGCTGCCAATGAGGCGATAAGGATGCGTGCAGGGCTAAGGATACCTGAGCACAATTAAATGCCATGGATTACCACTTTATGGTGCTCATCGCCTCATCACCATGGATCCTTATCGATTACCGAAGGCAGCACCACTTACTCCCAGCAGGTGAAGGATGGAGTCCTTGTGGTAGTCCAACGCTTGCACTGCCAGCCACAGCAGGCGAGATGATGACTCTAATATGATCGTACCGAGTGTGACAGTACTGAATGTGATTAAACCGAATTTGACATTACTGAAGGTGGCAGCCAGCACCCACCCCTGGCAGGTGCTGAATGGAGCCCTTATGGTAGTCGAGCGTGTATACAGTGAGTTTTTGAGACGTCTCAAAAACTCACTGTATACGAATGGAGTCCTTATGGCAGTCAAACGCCTGCGCTGTTGGCCAGCCGCAGCAGGCGAGATGATGGCTTTGATGTGACCATACTGAATGTGACAGTACTGCTTAGTGATTATACCGAGTGTGACAGTACTGCTTGTGATTATACCGAGTGTGACCACTTACCCCCGGGAGGTGAAGGATGGAGTCCTTATGGTATTCAAACGCCTGCACTGTCAGCCGCAGTATGCGCCTCATCTCCGCACACTCGTCCACCAGCACATCAAGCTGTTGTGGGGAAGGTAGGGGTGCGGGAAAGAGGAGTGGGTACATGTGTAACCGTTGCATCCCCCCACACTCGTCCACCAACACATCCAGCTGTTGTGGGGAAGGAGATACGCCACAGGAATCCCACCTCCCCCGCGTGGCCTTCACCTGCTCTTCCTCCCACCTTGCACCAGTGGGTTACACAAAGTAAAGAAAGAAAGAAAAAAACTTGTACCAATGGATAAACAACAAACGCATTATGCAATCAGAGAAGCTTCTACGCGGTGTTAATCAGGAAAAAAAAAAACAGAAGCAAAAACAGTGTATTGAAAGCAAACGTACAGGTCTCACTGCCATCAAAGAACCTCTCACCTCCTCCTCTGCCTTCCGCAGGTTCTTCCTCACTATCGCATCCTGCTCCTCCACCACACTCAGCTGGTCTCGTGCCTCTGCCACGTCCATCTCCCTGCAGCAATCCAGCCAGAGAGGGGAGGAGTTGCGGAGAGAAGGGTATGAAACGACAGGGTGAGAAGGGCTGCGGGGAAAAAAGGGAGGGTAATTATTGGCTTCCTGCTCTTCCATCACACTCAGCTGGTCGCGCGCCTCTGCCACGTCCATCTCCCTGCAGCCACAGCGAAACGGAAAGATAATAACAGAAAGCTCAGAATAAAAAGCAGGACCAAGAGGATGCGGGAAGCTAAGGGAAGGCGCAGCTCAGCTCATCCTGCTCCTCCACCACACTCAGCTGGTCACTCATCCTTCTCAACCTCCCTCCCCCCCTCCTCCCATCTCGCAGTTTCACCCTTGCACGCTTCTTGATGCAAGAACCCCGCCTTCTCTTCGCCGCCCATCCTCTCCCCCGCCCAACCGCTCCCAACATAGCTGCATCCCTTTCCATACTTCTCAACGGGTAATCACATTTTATCCTTCTCCGCCTCATGGTGGAGGAACTTCGCTTTCAGCACCATGCTCACTCCAAACCATCTTATCCACACATCCCACCCCTCGACCCATGCTCACAGCTTTCCCTCCACTCACAGCTTCTCCTTCTGCGCCTCCTGGTGGAGGAACTTCGCTTTCAGCACCATGCTCACTCCAAACCATCTTATCCACACATCCCACCCCTCGACCCATGCTCACAGCTTTCCCTCCACTCACAGCTTCTCCTTATCCGCCTCCTGGTGGAGGAACTTCGCCTTCAGCATCTGCAACTCCCCAACCATCTTATCCGCACACCCTCCTTCTCTCCCCCCCCCCCGCTCCCCACTCCCCCCGTATAACTCACACTTTCTCCTTCTCCGCCTCTGGGTGCAGGAACTTCGCCTTCAGAATCATATTGTCTCATCCGCACACCCCACGCTCCCGTCAACGCCACTCACATGGCCGCCTCCTGGTGCAGGAACTTGACCTTCAGCATCTGCAGCTATCCCTTCCCCCACTAACCTGTCCAAACATTTCACAGCCGCTACTCACAGTTTCTCTTTCTCCGCCTCCTGGTGCAGGAACTTCGCCTTCAGCATCTGCAACTCGCGCTGCAGCGACGCCGCCAGGTCGCGCTCGTCCTCCGCCTGCGCCTCCGCTACCTCCGCCGCCTCCTCCGCCAAATCAGCGCGTCTCTGCGCCGCCGCCGCGCGCGCGGAAAGATCCTCCGACTTGCGCGCGAGCATGTGGCGGTCGCGCGTGAGGTTCTCCACCACGCGCTGCTGCGCCGCCGCCTCCGCTTTAAGTCTCTCTACCTCCGCCTCCGCGCCCCGCAACTTAATCTCTACCTCCGCCTTCTCCGCCACCAGTCGCGCAACTTCCTGGTCTTTTTCCGCCGTGCGCCGCTCCCACGCATCCCGCTCCTCCGCCCATTGCGCCAAGATCCGCTGCCGCTGGCTCTCCGCTTCCGCACGAGCGCGCGCTTCCCCTTCCCGCCTACCTTCCTCCCGCTCCACCCTCTCGCTCTCGAGCCGCTCTTGCTCCATCTCGACTTCGGATCGCTCCAGATCGTCTACTCGGTCTAAAAGAAACTCCTTAGCGGCGCTTTCTATAACGAGTCCCGCCGCTGCAAGCCCCGCCGCCTGCTGCCAGCGCGCAACTTCCGCCTCGCTGCGCCTCCGCCTCTCCGCTTCCTCCTCCGCCTCCTCCTCGTCCCTCCAGGCGCGCTCCGCGCATGTGAAGCACGGGTGATCTTTCTCCCGTTCCGCCTGAAGCTCCCGCCGCAGGTCCGCCAGCTGCTGCGCGAGCCCCGCGCGCTCGCGAGAAAACGCCTCGTCTCGCGCGGAGAGAGCCGCGCGAAGGTCGGAAGCCGCGCGCGCGGAAGCGACGGCGGCGCCTCGTTCCAACTCTGACCGTTCCGCCTGCATCTGCGCGCGTAGCTGCGCCTCCGTCTCGCGCGCCCGCGCGTCATTGGAGGAGATCTCCCCGCGGAGGGACTGGCGGAGAAGGGGAAAGAGCAAGGGCAGAAGTACCGGAGAGAGGGCGGGTGAGCGGAAAGCACTCAGCTTATTGTGAGACAAGCACTCGCCTTGTCCGATAAGCACTCACATCGTTGTGCGATCAGCGCTCACGCCGTTGTGCGATAAGGGCTCACTTCGTTCCGCGATAAGCACTCACCTCGTTGTGCGCAGCGACCTCCTTGAGCTGTTGCCGCAGCTGCTCCATCTCCCCGCGTCGCCGCTCGTAGTCCTGCTGAAGCCTGCATCGCACCACAGCGGAAAACGACTCACATTATCGCATTAGAGGGGAATGCGCCGTTGCACAAAAATCGGATTGCGGCACTCAGCGACACACTCGACGAGGGATCCAGTGAAATCCCGCGTTTATCACCATCCACCGGATTGAAGGCTCTCGGTGCCATTTGTAGCCGAATGCAATCTACAACAATCTCGGTAGGTGCGAGCACTGTACCGCCTAGAGGTGACTTTTCAGTCGACTCAAGAGGCTCTCGACGCCATTCGTAGCCAGTGCAACCTGCAACAATCTCACCAGGTGCAACCATGGTACTACCGATGTCCTGGCGTTTCCGAATCGTTTACAAAAGGTTCCAAAATGCCATTGGCTACAGAATCAGCATCATGCATGATGCAAGGCGATCAGACAACCGGGCCCACTCACAATCCATGGCATCGACCGAGCTTCTTATAATCAGCGGCCATCACTCGAAGCACTGCGCGCCATTTCCTCGCCTCCTCTGTCTCCTCGGCTGCCTTGATTGCCGCATTTGCTCTGTCATGAAACATCGTCCCGTTCCCCGTGCGAGGCGATCTCTGACTTCTGTCGTTAATCTCCATGGCGTTGCCGGAACGAGGTGACCGTTGAGTTCTGTCGTTAAACCCCGCGCCGCGTCGACCGGCGGAGTTAGTAGTAATACTATAATACTCGGGATCGCCGTTGGACTGGTAACCACGGATCTGCTGCTGCTGCGGTCCACTTCGCGAACCAGTGTTACGAGTTACAGCAGGATCCTCTGCTTCGTAAAAATACGATTTCGACGGACTGTTTATCGAAGGAGACGTCCTAGTCCCTGCTGAGTTTCGACTAGGAGGCTGCGCGTTTGGGGAGATTTGCGAGAGCATGACAGCACTAGGGATAATCTAACTTCAAGTCGGGTGCAGATGGACGAACGACACACTCGAGAATGTCACCAACGAGGCTACCGAAACAAGCTACGAGTTCCTACGTCCCGCGATATTTGCTAGTGGGCGAGAATGATCAGGAGTAAAACTCTAGGCTCTCGTATTGAACGCGAATCAACATTGCTGAATAACAACCATAACATCACCAGTTCGCTCGATATAAACCACTGCCTGCAAAGCCCAATACTTCAAAAGCCGATCCGCTCACCTAGAATTTGTGGCACAGATACCTAGACCCTCCGCTTTGGCAGCGTAGGATCTCCCAATAACCTTTACAACACGGTGCTAGAGGTTAAGATACGGTACAGCTTGTTCCTGTTTGGTAGTGAATGGTGATACCCGCCTCTCTCCCATGACAGTGGGTTTGGAAAGGAGAAGCAGGGGAAAGGCGCGGAGTTGCCTCCCGCGGTACTCTCGAAGCGCCGCCTCTTGAAAGTCCCGCGCCTTGCAGCAGAGCGGCGGCGCTGATCCGTCCGATTTACAAGATCTGCGGCGAAGTATCTGACACGCTGAAAGGCGCACCACGATTTGCGACTGACACGCCTAGCATGTGTCAGACGCTTTTAGCGAAGTTGAGAGTACAGCAATACATAAAGCCTCCCAACATTTCTTATTACTTCATGTACTATTTTGGAGCCATGATGTGAACGATATAACCAGGACAATGCATTCAAATCAGGGCTGACTTTTCGAATAAAACCACTCTGATTTTTTTGGCCCCCCAATTTTTTTTAGTCTGAGGCCCATTTTCCAAAAAGTGAATACTCTGATTTCTCAGGAACCAGAGAAGTATAACTCTGAAAATTTTATAATTCAGAGACTAAGGCAGGTTTTCCTACTAACGAACCTTTTGCACAAGTTCGGAGGGATGGGTTTTCCTCGAAGTAACAGGTATGGCGAAGGGGAGTTCGTACTCTGTAGTATGAAAACTCATTATCCGGTAAGCAAGTTCTCTGAATTTTTCAGTATCGAAAAAACCATTAGTCTGAAGCACTCATTTTTCAAAACCAGCCAACTCTGAAAAATCAGGAATGTCAGGAAAATAGTCTGAAATTTCAGACAATCAGACTAAAATAGTCTGATATCGTCAGCCCTGATTCAAATGTCCCCGTTTTATCTCAACCCTCTCCTTGTCGACCTTTCTCTATTTATCAATCTAGCTTCCGTAGCTTCTTTCTTTGCTTTCCTCCTCTCAATCGCTGCTATCTTAGCAGCTTTCTTTCGCCTTCTTGCATCTTTGGCAGCTTGTCTCCTGGCCTTACCCTCCAACCTAGCCTTCCTTGCGTGCAGTCTCTCCTCCCTTTCTTCAATAGCAGCTTCTTTTCTGACCTTACGAAGCCTCTTGGCTGCCTTGGCCGCTGCAACCTCTTCCTTCTTCCTCCTCCTTGCTTCCTTAGCAGCTTTCTTCAAAGCCCGCTCTGCTTTCGCCTCTGCAACTAGCTGAGCCTTGGCAGTTAACTTTTCTGTACTGGCCTCCATGAAACTTGTTGAAGCAATTGTTACAACTGCAGTTCCAGTGTTGCTGCTGCTGCTGCTTCCACCGACGTTGCTGCTTCTCCTTGACGATCCCGTGCCTTTGTTCGCTTTGGCGGCAGATTTGGTATCAGGAACCAAACACACAGCCCCTTCGTCACTCCCATCTGCGTGGCAGGGAGGGCAGTGTGATGGGGCATGCATGGGGAAGTTGGCTGGAAACGAGGGAGGGAGGAAGGACCTGGTTGGCCAATTCATCACGCGAGAATGAGCACATGAATCATTGTGTAAGTGGTCGTCTGATGTGTTTACGTCTAATTACAGGCACGCTCGAAACAAGAGTCGTTCGTACTAACCACACCACCACCACCTTTACAGAAGCATTCACATTGGAAACCACAGCCCAGTATCCCAGAAACCCACTGACCCATGGCACACTCTACCACAGTCAAACCACCCGTCGCTATTGAGAATTCTCCAAAATGGCTACACTTGAGTCGCGTTTAAGTATTTTTTTGAAGTATCCCACTTTTCAGTCGCTTTTGAGAATTCTCAAAAGTATTCCAGGAACCCACTGACCCATGCCACACTCCACCACAGACAAACTACCCATCGCACCACCGCCATAATGCAGACATTGCACACCAGCCTTGACCCGGGTTTTCATCAAAGCAACCTTACAACCCAATAACCCAGCAACCCAGCAACCCAGCAACCCAGCACTCACCAGCGCAGTCCACCAGCCCGTCGCACCACCGCCCCTGCTGCACGCACTGCTCCCCATCCGCACACTTCCTCCAACCCTCCGGGCACGCATAGGCTCGGCACAGGTCCGGGTCCTCGTCCTCAGGCTCGGGAGTGGCGAAGCAGTCCGTAACCCCATCACACAGGTTACCAGCAGGCGTGCAGTAACCAGTCTTGGGGCATTTGAGCCAACCGGGGGGGCACGGGTGGGGCAAGCAGTTTGCCTCGTCCCAGCCTCCCAGGCAGTGCTCCTCGCCGTCACACAGGTCGGTCTCGGATATGCAATATGTGGGATCGGAGGGGCATTCTATCTAGAAAGGGAAGGGCGAAAGGGAGGGAGGAAGGAACAGGGGCAGCCAGAGGAGTAAGTTGGAGGGCTTGTTGGGCCTCATCCCAGCCTCCCAGGGAGTGCTCTTCCCCGTCGCACAGGTCCGTTTCAACATGCAGTAGGTGGCGTCAAGAGGGCACTCTATCTGGGAAGGGAAGGCCGAAAGGGACGGAAAAGGGGGGGAAGAAAGAACAAGAGTTATGATGAGACGTCTCAAAGCAGCTTTCTTACCACGTGTTGTGCACTCATACCATGCCACATGCCACACTCACCATTCCTTGTCTCTGGCAGTACCCCTGCTTGTACAGCTCGCTGCACTCCTCCTCGCCCTCGTCGCTGCCATCGCTGCAATCCTGATTGAAGTCGCAGTAGCCTCCCCGTCTCATGCACTGCCCGCCTCCCGGACACCTGTGCTGCAGGGGACAATGAGACACAGAGGGAATGTAAGACGGTGTGACTCTCATGACCTCTCGTCCAAATCAGTTTCTTTAGAATTCGCATGACAGTGTGACTCTCATGACCTCTCCCAGGCATCTGTTAAACACGCAGTGGCCCCTCCCCCTCATGCCCTGCCGGCCTCCCGAACATCTATCCTGCTTGGAGTAGTGACATGACATGTGGGGAGAACGGGCGATGGTGCACGGACTCTCATGTGCACTCACGCGCTCACGTTACGCGCTCACTCCACTCTCATCGCCACAGTCCCTGCCGAAGTCGCAGTTGCCACCACTCCCCCTCCCCCCCCCCCCCCCTTCCCCTCATGCGCTGCCAGCCTCCGGGACACCGTTGGCGCAGTGAAGCAGAGAACGGAGATGAGCCGAACGTGGACAGGGGGAGATGATGAGGAGGACTTTTAGTCCACTCAAAAGACAGCCTCCGGGACACCGTTGGCGCAGTGAAGCAGAGAACAGCGATGAGTCGAACGTGGACAAGGGGAGATGATGAGGAGGACGAGTTTCGGGTCGTGGAAAAACTCGATTATTATCACGCGGATTTTATACAGGGAGGCTTTTTGTAGCCCCCGGGACATGGTTGGCGGCGCAATGAAGCAGAGAACAGGGAGGATCAATGAGAACAGGGAAGCTCAATGAGAACAGGGAGGCTCAATGAGAACAGGGAGGCTCAATGAGAACAGGGAGGCTCAATGAGAACAGGGAGGCTCAATGAGAACAGGGAGGCACAATGAGAACAGGGAGGCTCAATGAGAACAGGGAGGCTCAATGAGAACAGGGCGGCTCAATGAGAACAGGGAGGCTCAATGAGAACAGGGAGGCACAATGAGAACAGGGAGGCTCAATGAGAACAGGGAGGCTCAATGAGAACAGGGAGGCTCAATGAGAACAGGGAGGCTCAATGAGAACAGGGGGGGATGAGGAGGAGGACGGGGTGGAAGGCCTTTGAGTCGACTCAAAGTCACCTCGATTTTATACAGGGAGGATTTTTGTAGCCCCCGGGACACGGTTGGCGGCGCAACGAAGCAGAGAGCATGGAGACCCAATGAGAACAGGGGGAGATGATGAGGAGGACGGGGAGGAAGGGACCGGAATGTCAATCTCACCCACGCCACACCGACCCCATTCTGCACCGCACTCCACCGCGCTGCAACGCCCAGGATGCCCCAAGCAACGACCCCAGCCGTACGCCTCTCACCTTCCCCACGCTGCTGCAGTCGAACGCTTCGCAGAACGTCGCATCCTCGTCGCTCTGGTCGCCGCAGTCGGCGATTCCGTCGCAGAGAAACGCACGATCCACGCACCCCGCCCCGCCTGGGCACATAATTCTCCCCCCCGCGCACTGCAGCATCTCGCGACCTCGACTCGAACGTGCGATCGTTCGCACTGACGTACTATTCGCAGAAATATAACTTTTTACGACCTCCATAGCTGATTCACTTCCACCATCATGCCCCCCTGAAAATCCGTGTATAACGACTTCGCCGATATCTTTGCGTGGTGTTCTGTGACTGACCAGCCGTATAACGAGGCTACTCTTAGAACGTGAATTGTGTGTGCGGCGTCGCGGAAACAGTTTTTGTGTGAGTAGTGAGACCGGGGCCGCGGTTGACGGGACGCCACCCGCCTGTGAAACGACGAGGAAGAGGAGGAGGAGGAGGAGGAGGAGGAGGAGGAGGAGGAGGAGGAGGAGGAGGAGGAGGAGGAGGAGGAGGAGGAGGAGGAGGAGGAGGAGGAGGAGGAGGAGGAGGAGGAGGAGGAGGGGGACCGTTGTGGCATTGGCGATGCGGCACCTCGCCGGCGCGGTTCGTGCGGTTCGCGCGGCGGCCATGACGCCTCAACGCTGTAGTACTGTGCTTACTAATTAGGGCTTACTGTAGTGCGAATGTTCGGAATCAAGAATGATGAAGAGAGAAGCGCGTTGCCCGCGGCTGAACCGCTCGACGACGCATTTCGAGCTAATATGAGGGGGTGTTCAGCCGACTATTAAGGTCGTACATCAAGTCTAGGAAGCCGAAAGCGACCACTGCTTCGCTACAGCCAGCTGGTTCGCTTATTAGCAGTAGATTCTACTGGACATGTGAGGCATGGGTAGGTAGTAGTACCGAATCAGGTGGGTGACGCTAAAGGGAGCTATTCGCCGTAAAAATAAGTCGATGGGGTAGGTCAATCAAGGCGCGCGTTGCGGCGTGGCGCACGGGGAAGGCTGGGACTGTGCTTTCAGACCAGTCTTGAGGTGCCAAACTTAGCCGTAGTTAGCGCCTCGGTTGGAATGGGATGTCATGGATGGTTGATGTCGGCGCAAAGAGAATTTGTTGGTAGTTTTTCCTGCTTCCGCGCGGCGCAGTTCCCTTCTAATCGGTCATGTGCGTTACCGCGGCTTAAATTGCAATACAAATGTCTATCTACCTGGGTGTTGATGCAGCACTATTCATGCTCACTTCAGGAGAACGGGGAGGACATTTCTGCGTGCTTCTGCTCATTCATTTGGGGGGGGTGGGGGGGGGATTTCCGCGTCGCTGTTGTTTCTGCATGGCGTTTCACCTCCAGCTGATTATCTGCGATACTACCATAGTGTGATTAGGGTAAGCATGCTGGTGTTGCGGATAATGAAAATGATCACAACACATACAAACACATCAAATGGTTGGGGGTGTCTCGGCGGTCGTTTTCAGCGGTGGCTTCGTCAGCAGGGGGATGCGCACGTGGGGCTAGCTGTGTCGCGGGGGGCTTGTCGAGAGGACGACTCTGTGTTTTCGGCTTATCTTTTAGGGTCACTGAAGGCGCTCATCGGGGTGGCGTTACAACGTGCGCAAGCCCGTGTCATCCTGCTTCGAGCGGCGTCTTTCATGAGGGGGGTTAACGTAGATTTGGCGGATCGGGAGAGGGACGATGTCGATGTGGAAGGCGGGGCTCTCTGGGTGGAGGCCCCGTACATGGTCGATACGTTGATGTGATTGAGGGGCAGGGCTGACGCTATCAGAGTAAATAGTCTGATTAGTCTGACGGATCAGACCATCGAGTTTGTGAAAAATGGAATTCCAGAGTAGTCAAATTTTCATCACTGAGAGCCTCAGAGTTATTGTTTTATGGCCCCTGATTCAGTGTAATAGGCCTAAGTGTTAGTCATTTCTGGAGTCTGTCACTACAGAGTATGCGTTCTGTGGTCCCTGCATGCGAGTTTATCGGGAGGAAGCTTCCTTGAAATTTCCTTTCGATACACCCACCTCCGAGGTGGCAGCGAATGCCAACACGTGAGCAAAGCACACAGCACCTGCTGCGATATCTGAATACACTCTATCTGTGGCAGTATCACACAGGTTGAATTGTGTCCCACAGTGGGTTAACCGTTGAAGCGGGCTAGAAAAAGAAGCCCAATAGTGATGTCTTAGCGGATAGCACAACAAATCGGCGAATCGGTGGGAGAGGATATCTTGCCACAGGTAATGTATCGCACTTTTTGGTGCTGAAATCGAAAATTTCTCCGCACCACAGCACTTGAAATAAATTGTTCCTGATTCATAGGTTGAAAATTTATGTTGCGGAGGCACCGGCAGATTCTCGCGCGCCAAGTGGTGGTTTGTGTTTTGTGCCAGCTCAGCTGCGTGGCAGGTCGCCCAGTTGGCACTTGCAAAGTTGCGCCAAATCGAGCCAATGTTGCAACAGTCCTTCTCGCCCTTGAAGCTCACCGACAAACCAGAAGGAAAAAAAAAAAAAAAAAACCGCGACTCTGAAGTCATTTCCCCAACACTGAAGGACCAGAGTTGTGTTTTTTTCAACCCTGATTTCTTTTAACACGCTCAGAGTGGCCATTTTGCGGCCGAAGTGCCGTCAGAGTAGAAAAAAAAAATGCGGGTCAAAAACAGGGAGGCGTTTTTTGAAACGTCAGCCCTGTTGAGGGGGGGTGGGGGGGGGATGGGGCGTGGGATGGGATGTCTTAATGGGGTGTCTTGACTGGGCGTTTTGATTGGGTATCTTGAGGGGGGGTTTTATGTGTGTTGCATTTGGGTTCTTTTTGAGAGTTTCATTTTCCTTCTCCCTTTCTTTCTCCATTCCCTTTCTTTTTCAGACACACTATGGCGAGACACATGGTGTGAATGACTGTTCTGTCTTCAGTGAACTCGAGGGAGATTTGGTTGGAAAAAAAAAAAAAAAAAAAAAAACTCTTACATAGAGTTCATCCTGCGAAATATTTCCTAATTTGCCTTAAAAAAACTCTTACATCGAATATTTGCTTGATGCCTGGTTCCAAGGTACAATAAAAATCACTATAAGAGAATCTGCACATTGCTTATACCGGAACCTATGTGCTTTGTCATAACAGGGCACATACAGGGTGAGAGAGAGTATTGGGAACAGGGCTGACTTTTCGAATAAAACCACTCTGATTTTTTTGGCCCCCCAATTTTTTTTAGTCTGAGGCCCATTTTCCAAAAAGTGAATACTCTGATTTCTCAGGAACCAGAGAAGTATAACTCTGAAAATTTTATAATTCAGAGACTAAGGCAGGTTTTCCTACTAACGAACCTTTTGCACAAGTTCGGAGGGATGGGTTTTCCTCGAAGTAACAGGTATGGCGAAGGGGAGTTCGTACTCTGTAGTATGAAAACTCATTATCCGGTAAGCAAGTTCTCTGAAATTTTCAGTATCGAAAAAACCATTAGTCTGAAGCACTCATTTTTCAAAACCAGCCAACTCTGAAAAATCAGGAATGTCAGGAAAATAGTCTGAAATTTCAGACAATCAGACTAAAATAGTCTGATATCGTCAGCCCTGATTGGGAACAATAAACGGGCGTTTGCCAACATACATGTTAACCCCCACGGATGTTAACCCCCACTAGCATCTTTACTATATAGTTTATATGAAAAGCCATCTGCTTTTATTCACGTACACAAACAAGCAACTTGTAAAAATGCAAGCAATGCAAGAAGCAATAATAAACAAAACCAGCCCACTCATCTACAACACAACACGCACTACAGTATCTTGAGTGGTTACTTGGTGGTTGCCTTGTTCTTGGCTGCAATCGCTGCCGTCTTTTCAGACTGCTTCCTCTTCTTCGCCTCAATAGCAGCAGCCTTCTCAGCCTGCTTCCGCTTCTTCTCAGCAATCGCCGCCGCCTTCTCTGCCTGCTTCTTCTTCTTCGGCTCAATGGCCGCCTTCTTTTCAGCTTCCTTTTTCTTCTCAGCCTCGATTGCAGCGGCCTTCTCAGCCTGCTTCCGCTTCTTCTCAGCGATCGCAGCTTCCTTGTCAGCCTGCTGCTTCTTCTTGGCTTCAACAGCTGCCTTCTTCGCAGCAACAGCCGCCTTTTTCTCCTCCTTTGCTCGGATCTTCGCCTCAATCGCAGCGTTTTTTGCCGCCCGCTGCTTCGTCTTCTCCTCTTCTGCCGCCCGCTTGGCTTCCATCTTCTGCTTCTTGGCAGCCACGACTGCCGCCTTTTTCTCCCGAGCCAGCTTCTTCAGCTTCGCAATCTCCTCCTTGCTCAAAACAACCGGGGCGCTGCTGCTGTTGGAACCACCTGAAGAACCACCTGAGCTGGTCCCAGATCCTCCAGCAGTCGGAGGAGGAGGAGGAGGAGGCACAACACAAACCGCCCCTTCATCGCTCCCATCCAAGCAGTTCACAGCGCCATCGCACCACCGACTAGCCTCCACGCATTGCAACCCATCCGCACACTTTTTCCACCCCGCCGGACATGCATACCCCTGGCAGAAGTCCGGATTCTCATCTTCCTCGCCCATCTCTCCAAAGCAGTCTGGCGTTCCGTCGCACAGCCGGCCCGTTGCGCAGTAGCCGGTGATGGGGCAGTGGATCTGGCCAGGCTGGCACGTGTGGTCGAAGCAGTCGAGCTCGTCCCACCCATCGGAGCACTGCGGGATGCTGTCGCATACGTCTTGAGGGCCGATGCAGTACCCAGGGTCGTTGGGGCACCGCACCTGAAAGGGTGTGGGAGCAGAGGATGAAAGAAGGGGCAACGAGGTGGCAGTTGAAGCAGTCGAGCTCGTCCCACCCGTCCGAGCACTGCGGGATGCTGTCGCACACCTCCTGAGGGCTGATACAGTAGCCTGGGTCGTTGGGGCACCGCACCTGAAAGGGAGTTTGCAGGAAAGAGGTGGGGGAGGGATGAGAGGGGGCAGTGGATTCGATTGGGCTGGCACGTGTGCGCGAAGCAGTCGAGAACGGCTGGCCCGTCGGAGCACTGGGAGAAGCTGTTATACACTTCCAGGGGGGTGATGCTGAGACCTTCCAGCTGAGACCTTGCAACGCTTTACTACCGACCCCTTGGCAGAGGATAACTTACCAGCCCCTCTGCAGTGACTAACTCACCAGCCCCTCTGCAGTGACTAACTCACCAGCCCCTTGGCGGCGCACAGGTCCTTGTGCAGGTCCTTGTAGTAGGGATAGCACTGCTCGGGCTCCTCATCGCTGCCGTTAGACAACTGGAACACGGGGCAACAGGAGCAACAAGGGCAATACCTGCCTCAAAGGAAGACTCACCAGCCCCTTGGCGGCGCACAGGTCTTTCTGCATGTCCTTGTAGTAGGGATAGCACCGCTCGGGCTCCTCGTCGCTGCAATGAGGCAACTACAACACCTGACAGAGAATTGCTCACCAGGCCCTTGGCAATGATTGGCTCACCAGGCCCTTGGCAATGATTGAATCACCAGGCCCTTGGCAATTATTGACTCACCAGGCCCTTGGCAATGATTGACTCACCAGGCCCTTGGCGGCGCACAGGTCCTTGCGCATGTCCTTGTAGATGGGGTAGCACTGCTCGGGCTCCTCATCGCTGCCGTCCATGCAGTCGTTGTTCAGGTCGCAGTACCCGCTCACCGGCCGGCACTGGTAGCCCTCGCGGCACCACGTCTGCGTAGAGGTGGCGGCACATGAGATGGGGGGGGGAAAGGCGAAGGGGACAGAGGTTGAGGGCCGGGCAGCAGTCGTTGTTGAGGTCGCAGTACGCGCTCTCCGTGCGGCACTGCCAGTGGTAGCCCTCGCGGCACCACGTCTGGATGGGAAGAGAGAGAGAGAGAGAGAGAGAGAGAGAGAGAGAGAGAGAGAGAGAGAGAGAGAGAGAGAGAGAGAGAGAGAGAGAGAGAGAGCATAGGGGACAGGAAGGGACGGGGGAGAGGAGATAAGGGGTGTGAAACGACAGCAGCAGCAGTGCCTCATTTGAATTGCATCTGCTGTCATCTGAGGCGGCGTGCCTCAACTACTCGCCGCCTCACCCCCACCTTGCCCACGCTGCCGTCGTCGCTGCCGTCGTCGCTGGCGTCGTCGCACTCTCCTCCCCACTTTGCCCACCCCACTCCCCGCCGTGCTCCCCTATTCCCTCTCACTGGCCCCCTCACCCTCACCTTGCCGACGCTGCTGCAGTCGTAGGAGAGGCAGAAGTCGTAGCCGTCGTCGCTGCCGTCCTCGCAGTCGAACACGCCGTCGCACAGCTTATCCGCTCGCACGCACCCAGTCCCGCCCGGGCACGGCACGTTCCCGGGCCAGCACTCGCCGTCCGCCTGCGCCGCCGCCGGACGCAGCGCGGAGCACACGATCAGCAGAGCCGCGGCGACGGCGAACGCCGCGGCTGCGGGAGACGATCGCGGAGTGATCGCGTTTCGGCCCATGATAATGGCCTGGATCTGATTTGATTCGATCGTATCCGGAGAGTTTACAATCGGCGCCCGTTCCGCTCAGATAGTGAAACTGCCCGCAGAATAAATGCTGTTGAGGGAGCGAGAGAGTCTGAAGCTTGGTAGCTTTCGGGTTTGGTTTTATTCGTTGATTTACTCAACTGCAGCCGACTTCTGCGTCCGTATTTCTCTGTCTCGGTTTCCCAGCGACTAAGCGAGTCGCTTCGTCGCTCCGCTCGTCCGTCCTCTCCTCCGAAAAGCACGCTGCTCTGAAATCGAGTTTCGAGGGGCATACAAGCACGCTGCTCTGAGAAATGACCCGACGAGAGGCTGTTGTGGCTGATGAAGGATGGTGAGGATACGAAAGAGAGGAGGGCTGATGCAATGGTCCTTCCGCCAGTGTGCTCTGAGGAGGGCTGAAGCACAGCGACGCACGCAGTGATGCTGCCCACGGTCACCCATCTCGCCGCCGGTGTGTGGAGGGATCAGATCTAGGAAGACCAGAGAGAAGGCGACACGAGACGAGGGAGGGGGACGGCGTGTGCTGAGTTGGAACAGGCAGGTGCCCAGCACACAGCGAGAGACGAGAAACCCTACATAAGCTGAAGGGACGACCTTCTTTCGCTGCTGGTGATTACACCCTCTTTTTCAACCTTCTCACCTTGCGTGACTCGTCGCTGCAGTACTTGTCTCTTGCGATCTGATGCCATTAAACGTTCCTAGCAACCTTGGGGGAACAGCCGAACCACGTGACAAACTGGCTCAAGGACGTAAAATTTCCGTAATCGCTAACGTTACAAAGCTTTTTGTAAAGTGCATCACCTCACCTAACCGCATTCTTCGCATTGTGCTTGACAAGACCGTTCTGAACGTGGTGAGGTGACGTTCTACAACCCGTGTGTGTTCTACAAACAGATGCTCTACTAGCGCGAAAGAGGGTGTACTATTCTTAGAGCTTTGGTGCACAGTGCACACTAGTGCAGGCTGCGAGTGTGAGAAGGACCCAACCGACCCAACCCCACCTGCTGATTGCCGAACAGCAGAAAAATCCCCTGAACAAGCTGAGCTGTGCAGGTTGAGCAAAACTGTCTGGAGAGTCTGATTTTGGAGGTCGCCAGTAACACAATTCGCCTATTTTCGGCGGCGCGCGGAGGGAGGGAGTGCCCGAGGTTTCTATTTTGGTCAGTTGTGGATACAAATTTGCGAGACCTGGGAGTCTCTGGACAGATTTTGGTGACCGTTGGAGATTCAAAGTGGAGTTGGGTGTGGAGCACCGACAGTTATGCGCTGCCCCACAATCAGAAAGAAAATCTGGTAGAGTACAGTAATTTACTCCTTGAAACTGATTTGAAACCTGAGCAGTCCGCGTCGCGTTTGCCACATCTGCTGTGTACTAGATCAGGTTGGAGACCTGGGAATTCCCCTGGATAAGCTGAGCTGGAGGCAGAACAGTTTGGTCTAAGTGGTGGAAAGCTGACGTGTTTGTGAAGGGAACGCCCAATGGATCAACGTCAACTAACGTGTGGTGCCGCATATCCCTTTGCCAAGTATATTTAATAGATGTACCTACACTATTCCATTCCTCAGTGAATTTATGCCATGGCTTGCTACCATTTTGCTTGACCACTTCAGTACTTGTGGATGATAAATGCGATTTTTTTTTATAAATAATGAAAGTGTTTTCGAGCTATTCTTGCAGACCTAGAAATCCAACAAGGAACATGTACTCTATGGCATTGTAAGCAGCCACCCAAGCTTTCTCCACTTCTCCTCCCCACTCCTCCCCCAGAGCATCTGAGAGCACAGCCACAAAGGCGGCTCTTAGCTTCTGTAGGGAGTTCGCATGAGGGGTTTTGGGAGGGGAGGGGAAGACATAAAGACGGAACAAGTGGATACGAGAGTCATTGTGGACAGGACTGAATATGGATGGGTGGGTGAGGGGGAGGAGGGGGAAGGGGGCGGGGGAGAGGGGTTCATTTCGGGGATATCATACGGTACATAGAGAGGAGTGTCGGCAGCTAATACCAAAAACATACAAAAAAATTTGTGATAAGGAGCTGTTGAAACCATTTCATACCGGGGCGTGTTCGCTTGTGACGCCAAAAAGTAGGTGTCGGGAACCGAGGTCTGTTAGAGTCGTCTTCAAAGACCGAACCTCCTTGTGCTTGTCCAGCTTCACTGCTGCTGCACACACCTGGCAGAGGGAGGGTGGACGAGATGACTTTTGAGTCGAGCCAAAAGTCAAAAGTCACCTCGTTTTGAGTCGACTCAAAAGTCAAAGGTCACCTCGTTTTGAGTCGACTCAAAAGTCAAAAGTCACCTCGTTTTGAGTCGACTCAAAAGTCTCCAGCTTCACTGCTGCTGCACACCCCTGGCAGAGGGAGGGTTGACAAGAAGCAGCAAAAGAGGCGCCTGGAAAAAACCCCAACCATACGATTTCAATACACCTCTCTGCTGCATATCTGCCTCAGCAAGTCGGCTTTAATGTGGGGGTTGAGGTTGAGGGCTCGGACTTGAAGTTCAGGGTCAAGGGACTTCAGAGTCGACTCAAAAGTTATTTTGGGGTTAAGGTTGAGGGCTCGGCTCGGGGTTGAACTTCAGGGTCAAGGGTTCAGGGTTCAGGCTTTTGGGGGCGAGGGAGCACATGCCACTCACGCACGGCACATGCCACTCACGCACGGCACATGCCACTCACGCACTCCGCCTATATTGGACATTCCCACTCACCATATCTCACGCAGCGCAGCAGCACACTTTAACTCACCATGCGCATGCCACTCACCATGCCCCATGCACCATGCGCATGCCACTCACCATGCCCCATGCACCATGCGCATGCCACTCACCATGCCCCATGCACCATGCGCATGCTACTCACCATGCCCCATGCACCATGCACATGACCAGCACCATACACCATTCACTCACTCACCACCCTCTCACCATGCGCATGGCCGTGGTGGCATGTGCCTGCAGCAGCTTGTTCTCACGGTGCGGCTCCTTGGCTCGGCGCGTCATGGAGAACATTTGTTTCGCCTCGGGTATCAACTCCAGCAGCCTGCCAGCGATGGTGGGGGGAGGATGGGGATGGTGGGGGGGAGGATGGGGACGGTGGGAGCAGGATGAGGGCAGGGTGCATGGGTAAAGTCATGGAGAACATTTGTTTCGCCTCAGGTATCAGCTCCAGCAGCCTGCGGAGATGCAGGGAGGATGAAAGGGTGGGAGGGAGGATAGAAACGGAGGTGGGGGACGGAAAAGGAGGGATCAGGATGAGGCAGGGGTGCATGGATAGAGGCATGGAGATTATTTGAGCTGCATCAGGTATCAGTCCCAGCAACCTGCAGTGATGCTAAGGAGACGGAGGATGGGAAAGGAGAGAGCAGGATGAGGCAAGGAGGGTTTGGGGTTGGAGGTTTAACGGGCAGGTGGCAGGGGGGCAGGAGGGCAGGGGACAAAGGCGAAGGGAATAACTGCAAACGGGACGAGAAACAAAGGTGGAATGGATAATGATGGATGACGATGGGTCAGTGTAGGTGAAAACGTGGGAGCGTGGATGCAAATAGCAAGCATGGGTGAGGCGAAGTGGCAGTGCTTGGCACGCTAGTTGATACATGTGCGAAGACGAGACGAGACGAGACGAACGGAAGCGAAGCGTGGTGTAGGCGGGATTGTCACGATGCATGTGGTGGAGGAAAGGGCAAGAAGGAGGACTTCTTGCATGATGTTTCTTTTTGAGAATTCTCATAAGTAAAGTCCACAGCGCCGTCCAGGGCCTCTATGTTGATGATACTTTTGAGAATACTCAAAAGTAGCGTCATCAAGGACTTTTGAATCAACTCAGAAGTCGCCTGGTGTAGGCCGGATTGTCGCGATGGCAGGTGGTGGAGGTAAAGAGGAAGGACGGGAGGAGGGAAGGGAGGGGGGAGAGAAGGGAGGGGGGAGAGAAGGGAGGGGGAAAGCCTAGTGTTGGACAAGGTGGTGGGAGGATAGACAAGGAAGGAGGGAGGATGGGAACGTTCCTCAGTGCAGGCCGGATTGATGCAATGGGGATGTGCAGGCGGGAGGCACGTAGCCATACGGGCGGGGGGGGGGATGTGCAAGGGGGAAGGATGGAAAAGGCGGGAAGGGGATGACGAGAGCGAAATGAGGAGGGAGGATGGAAATGCTTCTAAATGCAGACCGTCTTAACGCGATATCTTATCTTAACGGTAACTTACCGTTAAGTGAATGTGATCGGAGGGGAGGGGAATGTAGGACTACTATTTATACAATGGCAGAGAACGGTCGCGCCGCGCTCGTTTAGGATTACTTGAGGTAAAGTTCGAGGGCGTGTTTAGACACATCGGGTTCAATCTTGGACGCGAACGTCGCTCGTATCAAATCCACCTGCTCCGTTGGCAGTACCAGCGGCGGCGCCTCGATCTTCCCGGCCGCCATCTCGCGGCGCGAGCCGCTGCTGATCCTACTCTACCTCCTCTCTTCCACACGAAAGCCGCTGCTGCGCGCTTGTAGCGCGAATGCTACTAACGAAACGCTAATAGCGAGTTATACTTAGCGGTTGGAACTCAACCACCACCGCCAGTTCTCCCTCAGTCCACACGAAAGCCCCTGCTGCGTGCTTATAACGCGAATGCTACTAACGAAACGCTACTAGACAGTTTTACTTCGCCGTTGGAACTCAACCACCACCGCCAGTTACCCCTCCCTTTCACGCTCCTGCCGCTTGTTTCTTCCAGAGTCTGCCTTCAAGGACAAAATGCGGGTACTATTGTCGTGTCGAGGATAAAGCGGAGGAGACAGAAAGAATTGACCCTGTAACGCGTGTGTGATGGGATGGGATGGGATCGGATGCTTCTGAAAACTGCAGACAAATGCTCTCAAATGTGTCTCCTGTGAGAAAGGAAGATGACACGGTGAGTTGCCCTTTCGTGACGTGAGAAAGCAACTCGCTGGACTCGAAGAGTGCGAAATAATGCCGGGATGGGAGGAAGGACCAGCCGCGTCGCGTTCGTTACAGTGATACATGCTGATTGGTGGATGTAGCTCTGGAAGTGTGGTGGCAAGGGGTATGGTAGGTGACTGGACCGGTGATATGGGATGGGACAACAAAACAGTAGGGTGGGTCAGTGGGTGCAGTTCCAAAACATGGCAGCAAATCAGCGAAATTATCTCGTGGGTACAGTACAGTGCCAGACTCTTCTACACCACCGGGGTGGGGGTGGGTTCAGCTTTGACTGAACTCGTTTCCATGCGGAATAAACCAAACCTAAATAGGATCTTTCCCAAAGTAGGCTCGGTACAGTTCATTAGCACTACAAGCTAACAGTATGTGCCATAATATAAACCTCACAAAAACAGGATATATATTGCCCTTCTTCATGTCAGACCAGGGCAAGAGAACCACGAAAACCACATGGGTCCAGTAATGATTTTGGAGGCTAGTTAAAGAAAATCCCTGTGCTCCCAGAGCGAGAGGCGAGCTGCCATTGGCCGACGCCTCTCTCCTCCTCATCCTCCTGGTCTCGATACACATTCCTCTGTGTGTGCACATACCCCGCTGTCAAAAAATTGTGAACAGTTGCCTGCACATTGTCAAAAAAGAAGAAAGGGCTTATGAGACGGAAGGCAGCAATACCAGCAAGCACGGTTCAGGGTTTAGAAACAGTGCCGCTTGGAACAGCAACTTGCCACAAGAACAAGAAGGCAAGGCAAGAAGAAGGCAAGGGCGTACACAATAGCTTGCTGGTTGTGGGCTCCCTATGTTTGGCAGCCTCGCATGATTGCAACGCTATGGGCTTGCAACACTTTCCGCTTGCATTACCATGCGAAGCTGTATTCGCCACGTCTCTCATACACAGATGTGTCCTCACTCACATGCGTCCAAGACTACAGGCTTGTGTGCACATACGGCTACACGACCACTCACATGCTTCCTGCATCGAAGGATGGATGCATGCACGGCATCCGAGTGACTGACAACAATGATGTTTTCGTCCTGCCACTGCAGCACAACAGGGAGAGAGCACAATCAAGGTGATCGGTCAGTTTTGATACGTCTCAGAACACATGCACAGCATCCGAGTGACTGACTACGATGATGTTCTCGTCCTGCCACTGCAGTGCATGGCACAAGGAGGGAGTAGAGCACAGAGCGAGTAGAGCAGGAACGATCAGTATTAATTGACACACACACGACTCAAAATGCGTGAACGACATCCGCGTGACTGACAACAAGGATGTTCTCATCCTGCCACTGCAGCACAAGGCATAACAGCAAGGGAGCACAACAGGTAGAGAGCACAATCAAGGTGATCAGTCAGATTTGAGACGTCCCAAAACAACATGCACGGCATCCGAGTGACTGACCGCGATGATGTTCTCGTCCTGCCACTGTAGCACATGGGGCAGCAGAGAACGGGTACAACAGGGAGGGAGCACAGTGGGGCTTTATCGCCGCGTCATGCACGACACCCGAGTGACTGACCACGACGATGTTCTCGTCCTGCCACTGCAAGGCATGGACCAACAGGGAGGGAGCACAGCAGAGGTGAACAGACTGCAACACATGTGAATAGGAGTACGTGGACCATAACGCACTGCTGTAGAGAGGGTATTTTTGAGACGTCTCAAAAACACCCTCTCTACACGTGGCTATTCTCTATCTGTTTTTTGAGACGTCTCAAAGACTGCAACACATGTGAATAGCAGTACATGGACCATAACGCACCGCTGGTGGAGGTGAGTGAGACAAACCACCTTGTGACAGGCAGAGAGAGAGGACCCCACCTTGTGACAGGCAGAGAGAGAGGACCCCACCTTGTGACAGGCAGAGAGAGAGGACCCCACCTTGTGACAGGCAGAGAGAGAGGACCCCACCTTGTGACAGGCAGAGAGAGAGGACCCCACCTTGTGACAGGCAGAGAGAGAGGACCCCACCTTGTGACAGGCAGAGAGAGAGGACCCCACCTTGTGACAGGCAGAGAGAGAGGACCCCACCTTGTGACAGGCAGAGAGAGAGGACCCCACCTTGTGACAGGCAGAGAGAGAGGACCCCACCTTGTGACAGGCAGAGAGAGAGGACCCCACCTTGTGACAGGCAGAGAGAGAGGACCCCACCTTGTGACAGGCAGAGAGAGAGGACCCCACCTTGTGACAGGCAGAGAGAGAGGACCCCACCTTGTGAAACCCTGGTCAATATTGCGATGCCTGGCCTCCCTCTAGCCCACCTGCCCTCCTCCTTTCCTTCAGAGACGTTCAGTTATGCTTCAACCTCCATTTAACCCAACTTCTCTGGCACAAAACCACCTGCTCTGCCACAATCCCACCTGCCCTTCCCCATTCTCCACCTGCTCTTTCACGTGGTCAATAGAACGCAGAAGCCATGCTCCCCTTGCCCACCTCCCTGCACCTTCCTTTGCTCCACACCCCCATCTTACCAACCTGCTCCTCCCCCATTCCCCACCTGTTCTGCCACACGGTCAATCGATCGCAACAGCCGCAACGCTGCCTCCTCACCCACATCCCTTCACTCTTGCACCCATCCCTGTCCCTGCCCTTGCCCCACTACCCCTATCTCTCTGTGCCCACCTGCTCTGTCACGTGGTCAATTGACCGCAGCAGCCGCAACGCTGCCATTTGCCCGCCTTCCCTGTCCCTCCCTTTGCCCCACCCAACCCCTTTCCCCCATTTGTGGTCAATTGACCGCAGCAGCCACACCCCCCGTCAAACCTCCCTGCACATCCCTTTTTCCCATCCCCTTTTCTGCCCACCTGATTCCATGCCCACCAGCTCCCCTTCCAATGCCCACCTGATTCCATGCCCACCAGCTCCCCTTCCAATGCCCACCTGATTCCATGCCCACCAGCTCCCCTTCCAATGCCCACCTGATTCCATGCCCACCAGCTCCCCTTCCAATGCCCACCTGATTCCATGCCCACCAGCTCCCCTTCCAATGCCCACCTGATTCCATGCCCACCAGCTCCCCTTCCAATGCCCACCTGCTCTGCCACGTGGTCAATCGACCGCAGCAGCCGCAACGCTGCCTCCTCCACGTCCTCAGGCCAGCCTGGCAGTGCCACGTCAGCAGCAGCAGTCGCCGACCGAGCGACAACTGGCAGAATCCTGTCCACAGAGCCTGGCGGGAACATGCCTTCCAGCCAGTCACGAGGTGCCAGCGAGGCGGCAGCACTGCTGCCAGTGTTGCCAGCTACAGTACAGAATCCCTCATTCTGCCCCTGCCCCTGCCCCTGCCCCAGCCCCTGCCCATGCCCCTGCCCCAGCCCCTGCCCCTGCCCCAGCCCCTGTTCCTGTCCTTGAAACTGCCTCTCACCCCTTTCTTGTCCCTGTCCGGGTGATGTTCTCATTTGCCCACCGCCCATCCCTACCCCCCCCATCTCCCCAGACTGTACAAACAGCTCCACTGCAGCTGCCGCTGCTGCCGCTGCTGCTGGTGCTGGTGCTGCTGCCGCACTACTCCCCGCCCCCCCATCCGCCTGCCTCACCACCTCGTGCAGCCCGTAGTGCACTGCCACGCGCACCTCCCCCCCCCCCACGCCCCCCGCGCCCTGCCATGCCCCGTCCCACATGCCGAACTTGCGCTTGCGGTCCGGAGGAAGGGCTAGGCTCGGCTGAGGCGTGAGGGAGGATTGCTGCAGGAAGGGTAAAGGGGGTTTGGAAGGCAGGGCGGGAAAGGGTAAGGGAAGGCGGGGGTTGGGGGGAGATAAGGGAAGAGGTACCTGTCGGCGTCGCATGAGGTGCTGGTGACGTGCAGATGCAGACCTGGACACACCTCCACCACTGCTGGCACCACTAGCACCACTAGCAGCAGCACCACCCAGGTATGGGGGATAGGGGGGAGTGGGGAGTGGGAAGAGAAGAGCGGGGAGAGCAAGAGGTACCTGTCGGCGCCGCATGAGGTGCTGGTGACGTGCAGATGCAGACCTGGACACACCTCCACCACCACTGCCAGCACTGCCAGCAGCACCAGCTGCAGCACCGTTACTGGCAGCAGAGCCACCCGCAGCAGCGGCACCAGCACCACTAGCAGTAGCAGTAGCAGCAGGGCGACCACCAAGCTTGCTGCGGCGGAAGCGCGAGGAGAAGGAGGAGAGGAAACTACTGCCCCCTGGAACCATGCTGCTGATTCTGCTGCTGCCGGCGCCAAAGCTGCCGCCAATGCTACCACCACCAGCACCAGCATCAGAATCAGCAGCAGAGGCAGCAGCGGTGGGAGCAGAGGAGGAGGGAGGCGGAAGGGGTTGTGCGTCAGTGAGTGCGAGCAGCAGCTCGAGGGCGGTTTCCACACAGCGCAGGTACGGCGCGCACACTATGCGCGTGACTCCCCACCCCTCCTGCCTCAGCCTCATGCTCACCTGGCGATGTGATGGGGGGACATGGGGAGGGGATTCCAGGCATGGGGATATGGTACAAGTTGAAACACCACGAGGAGTGGAATATATGTATAATATGGTGGCATGAATTTAGAGTGTGGTGACATACATCTATTAATATATACCCCTGCATGATTCTCTGAGGTGGCTCAAAAAACGATTCGTGACTTAACCGCATGCCCACCTTCTCTCCACCTCTTCCTACTCGCGCTCACCTCATAGGCCTGATATTTCCCCCATTCCGACAGGGGCGGGTCCCACGCGCGCTCCGCGCCCTCTCTGCGCGCCCACAGGGGGTCGGCGGCGTCCGCGCGCTCCCCGTGGTGCATCACGAACACGTGCTGGCGGCGCTGCATAATCCCCGACTGGAACCCGCACAGGCGCGAAATCAGCCGCCCCAGGGGCGGGTTCATGCGCCGGCAGTCCACCTGCCGCGGCGGCGGAAGCGGAAGAGTAGGCGGAAGCGGAGCGGGAAGCGGAGGCCGTGGGGGAGGGGGAGCCCCCGCCGCGGGGAAGAAGCACGCGGCCGCGCACGACGGCGCGGGGAGCGCGGACGCGGGGAAGCTCGAGGGGAAGGTTGCGCTGACAGTGGCGGAAGAGTGGTACGGGGAGCCGAATGGCGCGGCGGAAAAGGCGTCCGCGGACATGGGTTCCGCGGAACCTGGGGAAACGCCGCGCGGCGGGGAGCGCGGGGGGGAACGCGAGGGGGAGTGCGGGGAGGAGATGAGGGAGTATGCGGGGAGGGTAAGGTGGTTCGGATTAGCTTGGTGGGTGAGTAACAATCCATGGCTGCCGATTGCGCCGCGGAAGACGCTTCGGTGGCCTTGAAAGTGAATATATCCCGCTGCTGCTGCTGCTGCAGCTGCTGCTGCTCCGAAAACTGCTGCGGCTGCTGCGAAAATTGCTGCTGCTGCTGCTGAAACGGTTGTAGCTGCAATGCACCCCCACCCGCGTCTCCCGCCGCGTTACCCGCTGAGTCTAGTCTTGCGGGAAGCACCACCTGCGGAAGCAGCGTCTGATGCGGCTGCGCCTGCGGCGGCCACAGCAACTGCTGCTGCTGCTGCTGTCGCTGACGTTTGCCCCCGCCACTGTTACCCTTTTCGCCAACGGTTTCGTCGACGTCGCCGTCCATCATAGCGACAGCTTCGTCTTCATCGCAATCATCGACCGCTCCCAACGCATACGGGGCCCACTCGCTGTTCGCGCCGGCTCGCCGAGTGGAAAGGCCTCTGTGAAGCACTAAATCGACCAGCTTCGCCATTACTATTTGCAAACTATTTGCAGACTGTTTGCTCAAACTACTTGCAAGGAGGCTAGGTTATTATTCCGCTAGAAAAGGATAACGGTGGAGACTATGAAAAGGCTAAATTGCGGCTTAGACGATTCCGGATAACAGTGAGCCTCTGCGACGCACTAAAGCCGTTCGCTTCGCCATGACGACTCACTTAGATTTCGACAGAATCAGCAGTCGCGTCGACTGCTTTAGTATGTACACCTCTTCGAGTCGCGAGGACGCTGTTTGAATACACGAGACCAGTTCAGAGTCGTATCGATGTACGAGATAGCGAAATAATATAGCAGAAAGGGAACTTCTTTATTAGCTGAAGCGAGAAGTTACGTAACTTATTGCCCCCCCTATGAGCCGTGCGAGCCAGTCCCCTAGGCAAGTGTGCGCATTATGAGTCAACCCTAAATGAGTCGATTCTGAAGAATGCCTCTGCAGCCCAGTCGTTCTGTCTCTATGACTGAAGGCGCGTCTCGAATTGGGAAAATTCTATGAGATTGCCAGCCCGGAACGGAGACGGAGTTGGCATCTCGCTGAGATAGCGCTGAAGGAATATATTAGAGAGCGTAGCGATAGCGAGAGAGTCTCTGCTATGGGAATGATGTCTCCCCTCTTGCGCCAGCAAGAGGGGAGACGAGGGGGACTCCCTTGCCATACTACAGCAAGGCCCTTTATAATCACAGGGCATGCATACACACATACACACCAAAACAAAGGGATACACACAAACGAAACACGCTCAAAGTGTAAACACGCACCGCACCAGCCATGGATAGGCCATGGCACCATCCACATCATGGAGTGTCTAGGTCTTCACTCCCCTCACTCGAGAGCCGCACCTGCCCCACAGCCTCGAAGCAACGACTGAAGGCGGGGAAATGCAATGCCTTTGTGAGGTAGTCAGCAGGCTGCTCGCTCGTAGGGATGTACTGCAGCTGCAGCTTCCTGCGCTTGACCATGTGCTGCAGCCACATGTGACGACGCTCCATGTGCTTGAGGCTCCCCTTGAGCCCAATGCCACCTGCCACTGAAATGGCGGAGGAGTTGTCCACAAAGAGAGTCGTGGGCTCCTCACTCCTCAGCAGTTGAAACTCTGCCAGCAGGAAGCGCAGCCTGCGCGCCTCCTTCCCAACCTCCACAGCAGCAACGTGCTCAGACTCAGTGGAGGAAAGGGTGGCGCAACGAATCCGCTGGCTCGCCCATGAGACAGCAGCACCCCCGAGCACGAAGACATAGCCACCTGTGCTGGTCCTGTTCTGCTTGTCCCCTGCATCATCAGCATCGGCGTAGCCCACCAGCTCCGAGGACTCCGGCCCACCACCAAACTCCAGCGCCACATCCCTGCTCCCCACCAAGTACGTCAAGCACCGGTCCAACTCCTTCCAGTGCTGATCACTCCGCACAGTCTGGCCCGACCCCAGCTTGCTGCAGGCGAACGAGATGTCGGGACGGGTGGTACAGGCCGCGAACTGCAAGGATCCCACCTTCTGCCTGTACTCCTCCTCCTGGCGAGACTGCCATCCCACATCCTCGAAGGTCTGCACACTGAAAGGGTCAGAGGAAAGAGGGGTGCGAGGCACTCGCAGCGGCTGCTCCCCGTCAAAGAAGCGCCTATGGACCTTGTCCACATAGGCCCCCTGGTGCAGCCACAGCCTCCTCGTGGGCCTGTCCCGAATCAGCTGCAACCCCAGATATTTCTCCACAGGGCTAATCTCCCGCAGCTGAAAGGCACTCTGCAGCAGGTCACGCAGCTCCGCTAGCATGCTCTGACTGCGGCTGGCAGCAAGCAGGTCATCCACATACACCAGCAGCCAGCACATCTCCCCCTCAGCATCAGTCTTGAAGTACAGAGCCTCATCCACCTTGCTCTTCTTCCATCCAGCCCCAAGCAGCACCCCATCCAAGGCCTCATACCATAGCATCGGGCTCTGCTTGAGCCCATACAGACTCTTCACCAACTTACAGACACGAGGAGTCCCATCCTCGTAGTAGCTCGGCTGCTCCATGTAAAGGTCTCGGTCCAGCACGCCATGGAGGAACGCGTTCTTCACATCGAGCTGCATCAGGTCCAAATCAAGTGCAGCTGCAATCGCCAGAAGCACACGCGCCGTCACATAGCTTCCCACAGGGGCGTACGTCTCCTCATAGTCCACCCCTGCCACCTGCGTGAACCCCTTCACCACCAGCCTCGCCTTCTCACGCTCCACTATCCCATCAGGTCGGAACTTGGTGTTCAAAATCCAGCGGTTCTTCATCACATTCACCCCTGGCGGACGCGGAACCAACTCCCACGTCCCCTGCTCAATCAAGCTCCGCATCTCCTCATCCATCGCCTCCTTCACCTTGTCTCCCTTCCAGCAGCCCAAGGCCTCCTTCACTGTCATTTTCGCTATGTCCCACTGCCTCTCAGGATCAGCTGCCACGTCCGGGTCCAGGTTAGTCCACTCCTCGTCCTCCTCCTCGTCATCCAAGCCCGCTGGCTCAACCACTACAGCCCAAGCGTATCGAACAGGCGGGACACCACGAGTGATGCGAGTGGAGCGACGCAGTGGTGCAGTGGTCGTCCCAGAAACCAACACACGACCACCATCTCTAATTCCCCACATCTCCTGCTCCCCTGTCTGCTGCTCCCCAATCTGCTGCTCCCCTGTCTGCTGCTCCCCTGTCTCCTGCCCCCCACTCTGCTGTACTCCATCCATACTGCTCTCGTCCTGCAGCTGCTCAGTCTCAAGGCGCTGCCCGTCGGTGATCTCCACAGACGGTGGCACCTCCATCCCCCCCTCACCAACGGGCGGCGCCGTGGAAGATGAAGAAGAGGGCGGAGCAGGTGCAGGAGGGATGGAGGGTGGAAGGGGAGATGGAATAACAGGAGGAGGAGGGGAAGCCAAGGGGGGTGAGGAGGAAAAAGGCGGGGCAGGGGGAATCACACGAGGGTAGACTGAAGGCGGAGGTGGGGTGGGGACCGAGGTAGGGACATAGGGCATAGCAGGAGGTGCGACCACCTCCTCCTCCTCCTCCGCCTCCTCGAGAGTGATCGGGAAGAGTGAGGGAAGGGGCTCATAGGGCATCGAACGCCCCCCATGCTCCTGCTGATGCCAAGCCTTCCATCCTGCTAGGGACATGGTCTCATAGAACACAGCTTCCACAGCGGTGATGAGGCGGTTGGACTCCAAGTCCAGCACGGCCCAGCCCTTGCTCGCAGCTGACACACCCAAGTGCAACCCCCAGCGAGCCTTAGGCGCCAGCTTCCCCCCACGCTGCGACTGTGGTACCATGTACTGCAGCATGCAGCCCCAAACACGCACCATACTGACATCAGGTTTGCGTCGGAAGGCGAGCTCGTACGGCGTCACACCAGAGGGTAGTGAGGCGTGCTCCACGCGGTTGCGCACCCAGACGGCCTGAGCCAACGCCAGGTGCCACCAGTGATGCTGCACACCCATGTGCAGCAACATCGTCCGCACCGCCTCCACAATGCTGCGCATCTCCCTCTCGGCCATCCCGTTCTGCTCCGGCGTGTACGGGCATGTGAGGTCATGGATGATGCCTTTACCGTCGAGGAAGAGCGTGAAGTCGTGCCCCAGGAACTCGCCACCCCGATCAGTGCGCAGCGCCTGCACCGTGGTCTTGCACTGTCGCTCTGCCATCGGGAGCCACTTCTGGAACGCCGCCAGCGCATCACTCTTCTGGGCCAAAGGGTAGGCCCAGACATATCGCGTCTTGCGATCCTTCAGCACCAAGAAGTAGCGGCTGCCGTCCTTAGCTGCTTCACGGAAAGGGCCACACAGGTCAGCATGCACCACCCCGAGCAACTCATCCTCCTCCTCTCCCACAGAAGGAAAGGTATGACGAGTGATCTTTCCCCCAACACAGGAGACACAAGGTATGCCTGACTTGCCCCCCTTCTCCAAATCCAAGCCCTTCACTGACCCGTGAGCCGCTGTGCGCTCGATGGCATCAATACCAACGTGTGCCATACGCGCATGCCACAGGTCCCCCTTAGACCGTACGCCGGTCGCCAAGGTACGAAGTGCCACCGTTTCGCCTTCCTGCTGCTGCGTCGAACACGGCTGGAAGTTCGTGCAGAGAACACGCCCCTTGAACTCCGCACGGCCAAGGAGCGATCCATCTGGTGCCCGCAGCAAAGTCACATCCCCGGCATCCAGCAGCTGCACACCACTATCACGCAGCTGCCCAGCAGAGAGAAGACTCGCCTGCACTCCTGGTACGTACAGCACGTCCGGCACCAAGACACGCCTGCCCCCCTCCCCAAGAAGAGCGACTGTGCCTCGCCCCTGCACCTCCTGAAGGGCGCCGTTGAAGCCGGTAACCTGCTTAATGCTGCCGCCGCTGCTCATCTCCACAAAGGCAGAACGATCTCCCATGAGATGGTGGGAGCATCCGCTATCAAGCAGCACGACGCTCGGGTTCGCCTTCACAGCAGCTGCAATAGCCTGTAAGCCCTCCCCGGCCTCAGGCTCTAGCACAACGAGAGGAGTCTGCTCCACAACTGGCTTCACCATCGCACATGATGACTGCCCGCTCCCCTTAGAGCCATCACCCCCCTTTCCGCTGCTACCTCCAGAACCCTCTCCACCGGTGTCTGCCTCCTTATCCGCCCGCTGCTGACAGTACTTAGCAACATGCCCTATTTGTCCACACACATAGCACTTCCCCTTGAAGCCCCCTTTCCCCCCCTTCGGCTGGCCTTCCTTACCCCCTTTCCACTTCTCCCCTCCCCCACCAAGCCCACCCCCATTCTTAGGCTGCTGCTGCTGTGCCAAAGTGGGAGGGGAAGGGAATGAATTCTGCTGGAATTGGGGCTTACCCTTCTTGGTAAAGACCTGGTTAGCCTGGAGAAAAAATTGGTCCTTTCGTCCCTCTGCCGCCAGCGTACACTCCTCCTCGATGATGTAGCTAGCGAGGGTGTCCTCGTCCAACTCCTTGCGAACCTGCGGCAACTTCAGCATCCTGCGTAAGAGGTTGTACTGCTGCGGCAACCCCTTCACAACGTGAGTAATGTACGACGCCTGCGAGTAATCTACGCCGGCCATCCTCAGGTTCACTAGGATCTGCTGCGCACGGTTGCAATAGGACGTAGCGGACTCATGCTCTCCCATCTCGAGGTTAGTGAGCGCCTGCTCTAGCTGACCTATGTACAGGTCGTCCTTCGCCATATACGTGGGCATGATAAACTGCCATGCCTGAAAGCCGGCATCTACCTTGAAGCGGCACGCCTTAAGGGCGATCTGTACGGTTGGGGAGCAGCATCGGGAAATGGTGGTGAACGTTAGCAACTGCATCGCGCGGAACTGAGAGAGATGTGCAAGTGCACGCGCTGGTGGAATGGGAGTGGTGCCATCTATGAATCGCTTTAACTGAGCGATCTCAAGCTGCGGCTCGATCGATTCTGTCCACGTCGACAGGTCGTGACGTCCTTCTAATGGCCTAGGGACGACGATCTTGTCTGGAGTGAATTTGAAGAAGCCATAGTTGGGGGCTATTCCCTCGTCCCTCGACATCGATCCAATCGGGGTAACGCCCGGCATAGCCTCACTATCGTACTCTTCCGCATTTCCTCCTCCAGCAACGCTCCGCCGTCCTACATTCGCATGCTCTCGTGACGCTGCTGCACGATGAACACGCTCCTGTACACCGCCGACGCTAGCCGTACTAAACCGAGTTGGTCCTCGCAGGACCCCACGCGACATCAACCCATCAAGCTCCTCGTTATCGCTATTTCCGCCATCGCCAAGCATATCCCACGCACTAGTACCTCCCGCAGCTTGCTCAACATTCTCTACACGTGGCGAGGGATGGTCGCGACGCTGACGAGAGCGTAATCCCTCCATCATGAGCTCGTATTCCAGATCACTAAGCTCACCACGAGAATGACGGGCCTCGAGATCCTCCTCTAGTGCGCGAAGACTACCGGCCTCCACGTTCGTCTCCTCCGTACTCATCCTCTACGACGTCTCTACAAGGTACCACAAATTAAAATAAATTGTCCCTTCCTTGAATCCCTCGTCTCGGGGTCACCTCACAAGGGTCCTCAGACGAATGGTAATAAATTACCAAGCGCCCTATCCTTGGGTCCGAGAACGTAACTGGAGGGAAATTAAGAGAGGTTCAACTTAAATTAATGAGCGCCCTTCACTAACGCCGCACGCCAAGGCGAGTATACTAACGAACGTCGACGGAAATCTATGCGTGTTCGTTCCACGCTCACCGCACCATGAAGGAATATATTAGAGAGCGTAGCGATAGCGAGAGAGTCTCTGCTATGGGAATGATGTTGCGCCAGCAACTTGGTAGAGTTTTGGTAGCGTTTGCCTCTAAGGACTTTGTGAGAATTGAAGTAGCATTTGGGCCAAGTAGAATTGCAATATCAATTATCAAACACACAAGCAAACACAAACATATATAGGCAAGCAAGAGTTGCACAATTGTTGCGTGGCGCTGCGAGTAACCCAACCCACACGAAAGTGCTGTGCAGGTGGGTGAACGCGCCCCGCACATTTCCAACCCAACTCGGCACCGGAATGTCTCACCGTGCACGCTACTCCTGCCAACACAGCAAGTGAGCAGCGTGCCTCACAAGCAAGGCACCTACGACCCCCAAGACTCGTCATTCCTAGCACCGATTCCGCCGAGTTCGCTGCAGTAGCTCACAGTCACCCGTAGTCACTAGTGACCGCCACCGAACTCGTGCGTCGGTGCCGAGTAGACTCAGTCGTTAGGCGCCGACCTGCTAAGTCAAAGGTCATCGAGGGCCCTTGCTGTCGTAGGGCCCTCTAACAAGCGCGTGGGTGGATTCTCGATAATAGAGGTCAGAAAGCCACGACCAAGCAATGTCGGCCTCCGTTGAGTTCTTGAGATAACGAGTTGAGCAAGTGAAACGACGACGGTCTTACATTAGAACACGGTCAGTTTAGGGGATAAAGCGACGGCTGCTTCCATCTTTCCCGCAAGCGCTCCGAATGTTTTGGTTCCGGTCGGACGGACCTTCGAAGGCCGAAAAACTCGTTGGCGATAGAAGGACGACCGATGATTACGCCGGTTCTAACCTGACGACCGCAGACAGCAGTGAGGGAGAAAGCCTATGTAGCAGCTATGGCAGACAAGTGAACTGCCAAAAGCTTTTCCCGAAAAAAAAAAAGTTTCAAACGCTTGGATGCGGTGCAGTACGCATATTTGTGGTACAGAGATACAATGGCATGGAGGTTGGGGAGATGAGCTTTCTCCTTAGGATGTGTTTTTCCAACTTGGTGAACTCCGTAAGCGTGTGTCGGCTGTTACAATATCACCTTCGCGCTTTATATTTTTGAACCACGACGACACCATACCGGCCCTCGCAGTGAGAAGAACGCGACCTCGTGTCAGTTTCTTGGAACTTCGGCTCGGGGAGGGACCATGGGCAAAACGGGTTGCGTCGCGTGCGGTTTGGTTTGGGAAAGGGTGGCACACTTGAGTGTCCAGCCAGACCGCACTTCCGGTTTACATGCTTGTCGTGGTCTCGACATGTTCAGTTTGTCCTCGTCATGGGTTTGTGCTGCGATCCGACGTACACCAGCAGGCGACTCTTTCTCACACCATAACTCCTAGTTAAAGCCCAAGACCTGAATTACAAAAAAAAGATGGCAAACTGTGCACAGTTTGCCTACCGAACCCACAGTTGACTTCCCGAGCCAGGCTGGTTACCAGAAAAGATCGCACACAAAAAAACACAGAGTCGTGCAGCAGAACAGGTTTGGTTGGCGAGAGTCCCAACACCTTTCTCAAGGAACAACCGCTCTAAGTGTGCACAGTTTGCCTACATTGGTAATTCAGGTCGTGCTTTTCCTACTACTCGTAGATTGTTCCAAGAGTCCGGAAAAAAATTCTAACATAGCATAGGCTACGATCGCTTTCACGAATATTACGGGACCCTTAGAAATCCAGGCGTATCTATCCTGCGGCCAAAATAGAAACCCCGAACGGATTGATGGTCGTGGCTTATCGGCATGACAGCAACTATGTTAGTGGCGTATCACGTTTTCGATCTCGCTCGCCCTGGCATCGCAACCCCGCGGACATCGCATTTAGGCCCTATCGCCTTCCGCGTTCCACACGCTTCCCCCCACCGTCTCTCACACACTCCCCCACGCACACCCACGCTTCCCCTCACCGTCGCCCGAGCTCTTCCTCACCGTCGCCCGAGCTCTTCCTCACCGTCGCCCGAGCTCTTCCTCACCGTCGCCCGAGCTCTTCCTCACCGTCGCCCGAGCTCTTCCTCACCGTCGCCCGAGCTCTTCCTCACCGTCGCCCGAGCTCTTCCCCACCACCGCTCACGCTTCCCCTTACCGCCGCTCACGCTTCCTCCTGCCTTCACCAACGCTTCCCCACATCGTCGCTCACCCCTTCCTTCCCCCACCTTCCCTCACGCTTCCCCGCTCATCGCCTACGGTTCCTCCCACCGTCACTCACGCTTCCCCCCACCGTCGCTCACGCTTCCCCCCACCGTCGCTCACGCTTCCCCCCACCGTCGCTCACGCTTCCCCCCACCGTCGCCCACGCTTTCCCCCAACGTCGCCCACGCTTCCCCCCACATCGCCCACGCTTCCCCCCACCGTCGCCCACGCTTCCCCCCACCGTCGCCCACGCTTCCCCTCTCATCGTCCTCCCTGTCGCCTGGAAATGAGCCTCCCCGCCGACCTCCCTTCTCTCCCACCTCTCTCCACGTCGTCATCAGTTCCCTGCCTATCACGTTCCACCTCTTCATCACCATTGCTTCTCCACCCACGCCGCCCACCCTCTCATCCGTTCCTATCGTCTTTAGGTTCATTGTTGCTTCCCTTCCCATTGCCGCATTTGGTCGCTCTCGCTCTCCCCATTGCCACCTTCTCACTCCTACCACCCCATCCTTGCACCCTCCTTTCCTTCTCTCATTCTCCCTCCCTCCCTGCCTCTCACCCACCCTGGCCGCGGACGTATGGCGGGCAGGTCTCGAGCGCTGGGGATGGGGTCGTGACTCGATCGCGGTGGGATGTCACAGGGTGCATCAGCAGCACCCACCCTTCTCTCTCTTGCACCAACCCCGCACGCATGGCAGGTGCTGCTGCGGCTTTGGAGCAGAGCGCTGGGCGCACAGCCGGGGCAGCGCGTGCAGTCGGGCAGCAAGGAGCGCAGTGCTTCAGATGACAGGGGGTAGGGGAGCGGGGGAGGCGGGGCAGGGGAGGCGGAGGGGAGGGAGAGAGGGTCCAGGCATCCTCCTATCCTATCCACCCTTATACCCTGCCACATTTTTACCTCCTGACCTCCTCCCTTACTCTGTTCGTTCGTTACCCCACAGTCGTCCTCCCCTCCCTTCTCCGTTGTGAAGGCACCGCTGCAGGTGGACGGGGTGACGTGCCACGTGACGTGGGAATGGGTGGGCTACCCGCATGTGATTTGCAGGGTTATTCCCAGCCTGCACCATCAGATGTCGGCTCTTTCTCCCCCTCGTTCGTCTGCCTGCATCCAGCGCTTCTCTTGTACTACAGTGTGCCCCTGCCTCTTTGGCGCCTCAGGTGTTTCCTTCCTCCCTCGTCATATGGCTGAGTTAGTCTGTCCCACGCTTCCCCCCACCGTCACCCACGCTTCCTCCCACCGTCGCCCACGCTTCCCCCCACCGTCGCCCACGCTTCCCCCCACCGTCGCCCACGCTTCCCCCCACCGCCACCGTCGCCCACGCTTCCCCCCACCGCCACCGTCGCCCACGCTTCCCCCCACCGCCACCGTCGCCCACGCTTCCCCCCACCGCCACCGTCGCCCACGCTTCCCCCCACCGCCACCGTTGCCCATGCTTCCCCCCACCGCCACCGTCGCCCACGCTTCCCCCCACCGCCACCGTCGCCCACGCTTCCCCCCACCGCCACCGTCGACCACGCTTCCCCCCACCGCCACTGTCGCCCACCGCCAGTGGCCAGCAGCACCCTTCCGTCGCATACACGTTCATTTCCCCTTCCCTCATCTCCCCTTCCCTCATCTCCCCATTCCTCATCTCCCCATCCCTCATCTCCCCATTCCCCATCTCCCCTTCCCTCATCTCCCCATCCCTCATCTCCCCATCCCTGACCTCCCCATCCCTCTCCTCCCCAGCCCTCTCCTCCCCATCCCACACCTCCCCATCCCTCATCTCCTCATCCCTCATCTCCCCATCCCTCATCTCCCCAATCCGCCTCACCCCATTCCGCCCCACCCCGTTCCGCCCCACCCCATTCCGCCCCACCCCATTCCGCCCCACCCCATTCCGCCCCACCCCTTTCTGCCCCACCCCATTCCGCCCCACCCCTTTGCGCCCCACCCCATTCCGCCCCACCCCTTTGCGCCCCACCCCATTCCGCCCCATCCCATTCCGCCCCACCCCTTTCCGCCCCACCCCATTCCGCCCCACCCCTTTCCGCCCCACCCCATTCCGCCCCACCCCTTTCTGCCCCACCCCATTCCGCCCCACCCAATTCCGCCCCACCCCATTCTGCCCCACCCCATTCCGCCCCACCCAATTCCGCCCCACCCCATTCCGCCCCACCCAATTCCGCCCCACCCCTTTCTGCCCCACCCCTTTCCGCCCCACCCCATTCCGCCCCACCCCTTTCCGCCCCACCCCATTCCGCCCCACCCCTTTCTGCCCCACCCCATTCCGCCCCACCCAATTCCGCCCCACCCCATTCTGCCCCACCCCATTCCGCCCCACCCAATTCCGCCCCACCCCATTCCGCCCCACCCAATTCCGCCCCACCCCTTTCTGCCCCACCCCTTTCCGCCCCACCCCATTCCGCCCCACCCCTTTCTGCCCCACCCCATTCCGCCCCACCCAATTCCGCCCCACCCCATTCTGCCCCACCCCTTTCTGCCCCACCCCATTCCGCCCCACCCCTTTCTGCCCCACCCCATTCCTCGTTTCCTCTTTTCCTCGTTTCCTCGTCCCTCCTTTCCCGATCCCATCATTCCTCTGCCAAGTTTCACCCTCCTTCCCACCCTCCTCCCCAGCCTCTCTTCCTCCCCTCCCTTCTGCTTCTCCCCCAAGCATCCTCCCTACCTCCCTTCCTCCCATCATCACTTCCTTCATTCCTGCATTCCTCACTTCCTCCCTCCGTTCCTCCTTTCCTTATTTGCCAGTTGTCATTCTTATTCATGCCTGCTTCCCTTATACTTCAGCCACGTCACATCTGACTTCTGGGTTTGTGATGTGCTGGCTGTCTGATACCGTAGTAACACGACGTATAGCCTTGCCATGTATTGGATAATTTGTAATAATACACGATTATGAGCCTCAGAGCAGTCATACATATGACCAATACCAGGGAGTTCAACAATTAATATATTACAGTATCTGTAAAATAAGGGGAATCACGAGACTTGAGAAGGGAACAAAGCTTGGGGGTGTGTGTAATGTTGCTTCCCGGTTTTGTCTGCTATACTGCAAGCAATAAACCAGGCCATGTTAAGCCACATCTGGTCCTGGGCACCTGTAACTGCATTGGGGGGTATGGGGGTGAGTGAAGGGGGGAAGACAGTAAACGGAATGAGCAGAGGGGAAGAGAAGAAGCAGCGGGGGACAGATTGAACAGAGGGGAAGAGAGGAAGCAGGGGGGAACAGAGTGAGCAGAAGTAAAGAGAGTGAGGAAGGGGGAAGAGAGTGAGAAAAGAAGAAGGGGAGGGAGCAAGGGTGAAACAGAGGGAGCAAGAATGAGCAGGGAAGGTGATGGGGGGGAGCAGGGAAGGAGATGGGGGGAAGCAGGAAAGGGGATGGGGGGAAGCAGGGAAGGGGATGGGGGGGAGCAGGGAAGGGGATGGGGGGATGCTGGGAGGGGGACGGGGGAAGGAGGGAAGTCTCAAAGTTAGCGAACAACGGAATGCATCAACTAGGATAGGGAGTGATACAAATAGCAAACCTAGAAAGTGTTGTACTCTCTACAGTGCTACTCACTATAGCCTATTATAACAATGTTCAACATTTGACACACCCCCATAGGCTAAGTGAGGGGCATCAAAGCAAGCAGGGTGAACAAACGGTCACAAGACCAGTCAAGACAAGAGGCAAGGCAAGCTCAGGGTGGATCTCAAGGACACCACACAAATTCCGAGCACAAGCAATCGGCCACAAGGCCAGTTCAAGAGTTCACTAGGATATATATAGGAAAACACAACAAGCAGAGCAAGCAACAAGTCTACAGCAACCGAGGGCCTACCTCAACAAGCCCCAACTGCACACAGAACCTGTGGTGATCACCAAGCGCCAGGGCCTTGGTGAAGACGTCTGCAGTGTTGGCCTCTGAGGCCACAAAGTCCAGGCGTGCCTGGCCGCGTCGCTGCAGCTCTCGCAGGAGGAAGTACCTCACGTCAATATGCTTCACTCTGCTCTCAAGTCGAGGCTCTCGACACAGGAGGATCATGGCCTTGTTGTCAGCGTACAAGGTCGGTGCAGAGCGAGGCCGCTCACCAAGGTCGGCGAGCAAGAAGGTCAATCAGCGAAGCTCCTATGCCGCCATGGCACCAGCGTAGATCTCTGCCTCTGCACTGGAAGTAGCCACAGACGACGACCGAGTAGATCTCCACGACACAGCACCAGCTCCCAGACTGAAGCAGTAACCCTGAGTCGAACGCTGAGTCTCCACGTCGTCAGCGTAGGAAGAGTCGCAGTGACCAGTCAACGCCACTGGCTGAGTCCCTCCAAGCACAAGCCACATGCCTGATGTAGTCGCCAGGTACTTCGCCACCCTCACAGCAGCTGTCCAGTGGACAGGGCGGTGTCTCCCAGTCGCAACAAAGCGAGAAAGGATGCTGAGTGGAAAGGCGAGGTCCGGTCGAGTACAAGTCATCAGGTACATGAGGCAGCCCACCAGCTCTGCGTAGGGTCCACTGGACTCAAAGGGCTCGTCAGGAAAGGGGCCCGTGAGTCTGTGGTCAACAGCAAGAGGAGTGCGCTGTGTGGTGGAGAACTGGAAGTCGAACCGCCGAAGGACCTGCTGCACCATGTGTGACTGCGTCAGTGTGATGGTGCGAGCGGCTCTGTCCCGGGTGATCTGCAGGCCAAGGTAGCGCTGCAGCTCACCCAGGTCAGTGCACTTGTGTCTCTTCTGCAGTTCGGACTTCACCTGAGCCAGGGCTGCCCTGTCTGCTGTAGCAAACACCAAGTCGTCGACGTAGACAAGGATAAAGAAAGGAGTAGAACCCGCTCGAACAAACAGCGACGGGTCGGCGGAGGACGGGCTGAACCCAAGGTCACGAAGCGTGGAGCGAAGAGTGTCGTGCCACTCACGGGGCGACTGGCGGAGACCGTAGACTGGTCGCCTCAGGCTCCACTGGGTCCCAGGTGGGAAGGTGTCAGTGAAGCCAGGAGGACGGCGCAGCCAGATCTCCTCGTGCAGTCGGCCCTGGAGGAACGCAGTGGAGAAGTCGAGGGAGTGCAGCTTGTAGTCTCGTTGCGCTGCTATGTGGAGTAACACCCGAAGAGTAGTCATCTTCGGGGTCGGGGCGAAGGTCTGGAAGAAGTCAACTCCCTCACGCTGACTGAAACCCCTAGCCACGTAGCGCGCCTTGAACACCGGCGGTGCTCCAGGCGGCCGCTTCACCTTGAAGAGCCACATGCCATCGACTACGTTCGCCCTGGGAGGGGGAACTGCGTCGACGTAGGTGCATGTGGATCTCCAAGACGCCAACTCTGAGTCCATAGCCGCTTTCCACTGAGAGGCCCACGCCCCTGACACTGCCTCGCGGTAAGTGCGAGGAGTCGGTATGTCAAGGGCGTCGGGGTCTCCCTCAGGGGAGAGCAGCATGGCACACACAGAGGGAGAAGCGGCTGCCCAGTACTCCAGCTCAGACTCTCTGTCCTCTAGGACGTCACAGCCAAGGGCAAACCCACCCCCGACGGACAGAGGACGGTAGGGAGGAGCTGGCACCACACGGGTGGCGTAGTCAAGGCGGCTGGCGGCAGCAAACTCAGCGACAGCGGCAGTGAGAGCCGAGACAGACGACGGAGGGACACGAGGGTCGGTGACAAGAGTGGTGAGGACACGTGCGGTAACAGGATGAACAGCGCGGTAGTAGTCAGAGATAGGAGTGGGGAGGGCAGGTAGAGAGGACGGAGGAGGAGACGGGAGAACGGACACAGGAGAAGGAGAACGACGACGAGACGAACAAAGGAGGGCAGTGTGGAGGTCAGTAACAGGGGACGAGTGACGAGCACGCGGAGGACAACGAGTGATCAAGTCGCGGCGGACAGAGGGAGGAGGAGACTGAGGAGGAGGAGAAGACCAGACCGCCGGACGGTCGTCAGGAGGAGGCAACGGAGGAACAAACACAGGAGGAGACTGGGAGCGGACAGGAGGAGACGAGGAAAGGCCAAGGGCCCGCAGGCCACTCACAGGTGGGAACAACCGCCGCTCCAGAGGAAGCTGCGGTGGCGGCTGCGGCCGCTGCTGCTGCGGCTGTGGCTGCGGCTGCGGCTGCTGCTGCTGCTGCTGCTGCTGCTGCTGCTGCCGCTGCTGCTCCAGAAGGTCCAGCACCCGCAGCTCCTGCCGCTCCCTCTCCAACCGCTCCTGCTCCTCACGCTCACGCCGACGGGCAGCCTGGAGACGCGTGTCGTGGCGGTGGGGGGGCGGGGTGGACTCCGCAGAACCAGGGTCTCCAGCGTGCGTCTCCTCAGACTCAGCAACCCCAGAACCAGTACCGCCAGTGCCAGGACCTCCAACTCCAGCACCCCCAGAACTAGCACCGCCAGTGCCAGCACCCCCAACTCCAACACCCCCAGAACCAGCACCTCCAGTGCCGGCACCTCCAGCTCCAGCACCCCCAGAGCTAGCGCCACCTGCGCCAGCACCTCCAGCTCCGGCACCCCCAGAGCTAGCGTCACCTGCGCCAGCACCTCCAGCTCCAGTACCCCGTGACCGAGCACCCCAGACCGAGCACCGCCAGCGGCTGCACCTCCAGCTCCAATACCAACCGAGTCCACAGTAACCTGTCGCGGAAGTGCCGAAGGCTGCTGAGGGGACTAGGAGGAGGACTGCGGGGAGGGAGACGCTACCTGACGCGCGGCCGAGGGTAGAGGGGTAGCGTGGGACACACCAGACGGGGCAGGACCAGGGGGGGGCGGGGGTACCGGAGGAGCGGGAGCAGGAGGAGGAGAGGGTGCGAGGAAGAGAGGGGGAGGGGGTACCGGGAGACCTCGACAGGGGTACCGGGTGTAGTAGGACTCGGACTCGTCAAACCGGACGTCACGGGAGTCTAGGAACTGGTGGAGGGGAGGGTGGTAAAAGGACCAGTCAGCAGAGTCCACTGGGAAACCAAGGAAGACACAGGGGACGGCGCGTGCCGAGAGCTTGTCCGCGGAGGTATCGCGAACAAGTGCAAGGCAGCCCCAGACTCGAAAGGACGACCCAACACCAGGGGATCCAGTCCAGAGACTGGTCGGTGAAGCCTCGGGCCGCGAGACACGCGGCTGGAGGTTCAGCTGGTGTGCGGCGTAGCGAACCGCGTGGGGCCACAGAAAATGGGGCGCACGGGCATGAATCATGGACGTGCGGGCGATGTCCATGACCAAGCCTATGCGACGCTCAGCAACCCCATTCTGCTGTGGGGACTCTGGCAGCGTCCAGGACTGGGTGATGCCCTGTTCGCCGCAGAATCCGCCGAGAATGCCGGAGCGAAACTCGCCCCCACGGTCGGAGTGAAGACAACTGACTCGACGACCACGAGTGCCCTCAGTGGCTAGAAGCCACCTGATCAGCGTAGCAGTCACCTCGGACTTCTTCGCAAGAGGGAACACTGTGGTGTACCTGGAGAAGTCGTCGACGACCACCAGAAAGTAACGCTCCCTCCCAGACCCCTGCATCGGGGCAGGGCCCCAGACGTCCAAGTGGAGAGTCTCGAAGGGAGCGGTGGCCGGACGAAGGGAGGAGGAGTGGGGAGTGGCGCGTAAGCGACCGGCGACGCACGGAGAGCAAGGAGGGGCAAGCGAGGGAGGGAGCGACGGGAAGGTGCGTGGGAGACCTGTGACTAGTCCCTGACTGAGCATGCCACGAAGGCGAGGGATCGACGGGTGGCCAAGACGGTGGTGCCACAGGACGGTGCGGTGGGCGAGAGAGCGACAGGAGCAAGACGCAGCGACTGGACTGGACACAGCGACCGGACTAGACACAGCCACCTGACCGGACTCTGCTACCGGGGGGGACGAAGCAACCTGACCAGACGCAGCTACCTGCGGGGGCGGAGTGTGCAGGACGAAGAGACCTGAGTGGGGCTCTCTGGTGAACGTGGCAAGAACTGCCCCGGTGGAAGAGTCCGTACAGATCGCAGTCCTCCCGTGCGCAGGAAAAGTGACTGTGATCCCCCGGTCCTGAAGGTATCCAACACCCACCAAGTTCCGAGAGAACGAGGGGATGTAGAGACCAGTGAGGAAACCAGAGGGGACAGCCGGGCACGGGAGGGTGGTCGAGCTGCGAGCAACTGCTGGTCTTGAAGTAGGATCAGCCAGGGCAACTGGGACTGGAGCCGAAAGAGGTGTGACAGTGGTGTGGTCGCGGAAGAAACACTGAGACGCGCCGGAGTCCAGCGTGAAGGAGAGCGACGCAACAGCAGTCGTCACGGCTGGGCTAGTGACTACACAAGCACCTACACTAAAAGCACAAGTACCGACACTAGCAACAGGCAAAGGTCCTAAGCTAGGTACACGTAAGCCAAGAGATCCGTACGTGACAGAATAAACAGCATCCATAGACATATCAAACACAGGGAAACCACTACGAAACAGACCGGGCCAGATCGGGGGAGCCGACTCAGGCCCAAAACGCTCACGGTAAAGGTCGTCGAGGCGGCTGTAGCAGCGCTGTGCAGAGTGGTCAGGACGCCAGCAGGTAGTGCCAGCACCAGGGCCGGTCAGGATCCGGTACTGGCAGGGGCCGACGTCGCGGCCACCGCGACGAGCCCCCCGGCTGGCTGGGCCGCTGCTGCAGCCAACGCGACCTGAACCACC